GGCTCAACAGTACTGTGACGAAATCCTACGCCCACACCTACTTCCAATCATTGATCGCCAGAGGGAGTTGTTTCAACAGGACAATGTCAGGCCCCACACAGCACGTCACACTAGAGACTTCCTCCAGAACCACACCATCAATGTGCTCCCCTGGCCCTCAAGATCACCGGACTTAAACCCAATCGAACATCTGTGGGATGCCCTGGACAGACGGGTGCGACGTCGTAACCCTCAGCCCCAGACACTTCAGCAACTCGCACAGGCACTACAGGCAGAGTGGGCTGCGATTGGGCAACACGAGATTCTGAGACTTATTCGTTCGATGCCGAGGCGATGCCGTGCAGTTCTGGATGCCCACGGTGGTCTCACGAGGTATTGACTTCAGCGCCACCACACGTCTCCATGTGACACTCAAACTGACTTTCCTCGAGTTGGTGCCAAAGACGGATACGTCTGCATTCCCAGTGTGCAATTTCGCTATATTTCATTGACTGATAAAGCCTACAAGATGTTTCAAAATAAACATAAAAATACAGAGGAAATTCCTATATGCGTTTCTTTTTTGGGAGAGTATATTTACACTAATTCGTGTCCCCCTACAAGAAACTGCATGTTCAATGTATGTATTATATACAAATTGTACAATATTTGTGCAATACCGACGATACATTTCCCCCGACCATCCGGCAACCTGATTTGGTTTAATTACAGCATGCAATCTCTATAGAAATATAATGTTGGAATGTAAGACTCACTGAAACACCTTAAATCATCGCCTAACAAATCACATCTTGACAGGTACAGTAACTCTTGAAAAGCTATTGATATTCCTAACTCTGTCATTCAAAGTACACTTTCTTATAAACAAATGGTTTCCTTTGCAAATGTTTTTGTTTTAAAAGTTTGTTTTATTGTTCTTTAAATCTCCACTCAGCTATATTGCTGCCGCATGATCTCAGCATGTATTGCCCTATATTGGAGAAACATGTCGGCCCTTCAACATTAGACTAAAAGAACATAAAACTTCAGTTGAAAAATCTGATCTCAAATCTGCCCTCTCAGAACACATTGTTAACAATCCCAACCACTCTATCAATTGGCAACACACCGAAATCCTGGCTTCCAACATCAGCAATTGGTGCCAAAGAAAACTGTGTGATTCAATCAACATAAGAAGATTAGTGCCTGAGATCAACAGAGATCAAGGGGTTTACCTCCCCAGCCCTGGTCCATCACCCAGAAATCATAGACTCTCAACTCAATCTGCTTTAACCACTCTGTTATGTAAACACACCCTTGCCCTTATCGTAGAAACATACCCTATCATTGTATTCAGCTCTTTGATCTCACTGCATTGTTCGTACATACTTAAATATACCTCCTTTTTCCCTTTTATATGCTCAATTTACATATCTGGCTTCCTGTACATCTATATATATACTGTACTGGTCACTATCACCATTATTCACCTGAAGAAGGGGCAAGAACTAGCCCAGAAACGTTGTGAAAAATAAACCAAGAAGTTGTTATCCATAAGAATTGTCTTGTATTACTACACCAACTTCTAAATGCCTTTGAAGAATTTTATTGCCCAAAATCCAATGATTAAAAGTGGGAACAACTAACCACAGTAGATGGCACTGTATCTGGAGAGTCTGACCCCTTAGTTCAGTCTTATCTTATCCCTATTATATGTTGCTGGGGAGCTATTTCACCCCAAGGTAACATGTAGTGATAACATTACAGCACCCAAAATGATCCTCAATATGTACTGTTCTTACTGAGACATAATATGCCGCTCATGATACTGATCACTAGATTATCAAGTCGAGAATATGTTGTGTATATTCAGCCGAGACATGACACGACTAATGCTTGATGCGACTTAAACAACTTACACTTACTTATGCTACTGTCTAGGACCCATTTACCTTCTTAGCCAGCACCTGGTGTCATAAGTAACATCGACCATCTGTGTACTGTTTATCAGTCTTCTACATTTTACGGGTAATGGAATCTTATTTCGGCAGATAAAGGATAATGATTATTCTCTGACGTTGGCCTCTATATTTCATTTAACCATCTCTTTTGGGTAGGGTTTATTTCATTTAGTAAGTTTTCCAAGTTTCAAAAACATTATAAATTATTCACTGTGGTGTTTGTATTTTAATCTTTGAATTCACGTATTATTCGTGAACAGTGATTACACATGCTACCTATCAGAAGTGACAATATGTTATCATATTCTTTTCTAAAACATGATGTTTTGCATCCAAACAAATACTTTTATTAATTTATTTATTGAACCTGTGTCAGAGATTAGAATAAACAAACTGAAACAAAAATTTAATCCATTTCGGGAAGATATAAGGAATCTATCTTGCTAAAAACACTGTGATGCACTTGAAAATACCTTGCATTTGATTTGATGGTCGCAAGGTAAAGTCAGTGACCTCAGTTGACCTTCTTTCAGGATTGATAACCTGTGTATACATACATGCCTTTTAACGAAGTTTATTCAGGAAGAAACATATTAGTTTTCCAGGATATTTTCTTTTCCCAAACGGACACTTTTGATACTGAAATCAAACATCTTATGTCAATTTTGTAGCCGTAGGCCTAATTGGAGTTAAGAGTAACGCTTCATCAAACAGCCGCTTAACGTTTGTTTGTACGCTTCTGTGGGACGTGCGGTTAACAAGACGACCCCAATCGTGCCTATCTGTCGCAGTTTACCAAAGGCCTGGGTGACACAAATTGGGACATTCAGCCCCAAGGGCGTGACTGAGGGATCCACAGGGTGACGAGACAACACACACTCGACGCTGCTTACCTGCTGTGACCTGACGAAATACTCATAGATTTGAGGGTGTCTGCAAAATGTCACGTGCTTTTGGTATGTGATCTCTCACCTTCCTATTGCACAAGACGAAAGCTCACTAATTAGTCTGCAAATACTTGTTGAATCCGGGGAAACCCCATTTTGAGAGCCACCGTTGATTGGTCGACCTGAATATAGATATTTTTTTCAACTTCAGCAAACAGAGGCGTTAAGGACATGTGATGGCAACAGAGCTTTTGAATAAATGTTTTTAAAGATGAATTGTTTATAGTTTGTAAGAATATCGTTATTTATGATATGCTTAAGTGTTAAAGATTTCCTGAGTTCAAGAAATGTCAGACACAGCAGTGGCAATATCACTTTGACTACTGGAGCACTTTTACATTACATATCACCACTACTTCATGGCTGAACAAAGGGTTACAGGCTGAGAGAGCCACATTTCCGAAACAGATAGCCAAAATTGATGTGGCTCTCCCGGCAATAGTTATGGTTGCGTGAACATGGAATGTGGCTCTCCCGGCTATGCTGTCAAAACATGCTTAATGATTGAAAAATGGTGACTTTGAATGGTTTATCTCTGTCTTAAGCAGAATTCTATTTCAACTTTTCTTTTGGACATCTAAATCAATGCTATTGGTTTATTTCGGCATGGTCGAAAATAGGACAATTTAACTCTTCTGAACAAGATGCAGTTCACCTAAATATGAATGCGTTTGAGAATTTGGTTCGTGATTTGCATAAAGCTTTCTTGTAAGCTAAAACCTTCTAACATATTTTAGATAGTTTTTAAGTAATTCATAGATGGTAGGAGGGTCACGTTTCTTTTGGCGTTTAGTGTAGGAACAGTCTTTTACCGGTTATGGTAATCCATTAATTAATTAATCTATTGGAAATGTGGCTTTACCGGCTACAGCCATGTAATTGAAATGTGGCCTTCCCGGCTTGACACCAAACAAATTATCTTGCAACTGTCACACAACGAGACAAATGGCAATGTAAACATGCATTTGGGCATCACATGACCCATCGCCATGGAAGAAGAAACGCATTGATCAGTTGACAGTTCATGTACAAATGACTTCATTTACTCGATTGGCAACGATCATTAACTGTATTTATGCATACTGACACTGTAAATAGAATAAATACCACTTACAGTGACAGTAACCATATACAGGTAATGACCGATTCCAATGGAGTAAATCAATCGCGCATCACTTTCCATGGCGCGCCATCCCAGTTTCTGGTTCTTGTATGTTATGCGCCGATACCTGGTTTTGACGTTTACGTTAAGACCAAAGGATCATTTGAAGGATATTATTAAGTGCTGATCCTAAGTATTCATACACAGACAAAATATGATAGCAATTAATACACAAGTCTCGATGCATAATTAATTTTCGAATATGGTACTATGTCTTATCTGTGACATAAGAGAATTTTAGTTAACACTTGAGAGAATTTAGATTTCACTGATCGCGTTTTTTAAGATTAATATTGTGTATTAAATGTGTTTAGTGAATATTCTTAAATTTTTATAGTACAAAAGACATGTAAAAGTCCATTCTATGAGACGCCAAAATAAGTAATAAATATACAAATGATTATATGTTTAAGCATTCAGCATTGTATGATTTTGTTTCAAAGACCCTTGCATGGACGTACTGAGCATTATGAAATGTGTGATTCACCAAATTGACTATGAAGTCAATTAACATTGCGGTATGTGTAGCAATGTCCCTGCGCAAGTGGACACACACATCTACATCTTCCTCCAACAGCATCTACACCCTTCGTCCGCATCAGAGTAAACTTTGTACATTTGTTCATTATGTCAAGTGACTTTGTTCGACGTCGACTTATCTTCTTGTCTGTGACTACAGTAATGACCCTGTGACCCCGAGCCGCTCGTTCTCCTTACCTGTTGTGTTACTAAGACAGGTCATAGACTGTTTCACTTTCTCAAGACGGACCGCCCCAAATATAAACCTTAGTTAATTTCCACCTACAGGTGAATTAAAAGCTCACTGAATCTACACGCGGGTAAGCAGGAGTGTCTCTGTCTCTGTTTAATCTAGGATGGTTTAGCTTACTTGAGATAATTTACTAACAGAAGGAAGTGGCAAGGTGACCTGACAATAAGGTTATGATTTAAAACACATGGTCGTCTTTTCAGATCTTCATTAGTGGTTGACAGTAGACGAAATGTTGGCTCTTTTGACAACTGTTGGGTGCTTTCTGATCATATCCGCGCAGGTACAAGGTAAGTTTCTTAAAATATTGTTTCTATTGCAAATTCAGTAAGATAAGAAACTGATTTCGATTGGAGATCCTTGTTTTATTGAAGCTGAAGTTTCCTGAATGCATCGCTGGTATAAAAACATGGAGGTTGTTCCAATGTGTGATGAATGTTTCAAATCATGTTCTATGGTGTTTCGAGTACAAAACTCAAGAGCATCTACAAGATGTTACAAAGGACACAATGACGATGCATGAGCCTCATTGAAAGTGATTTTGACCTAGAAAAAGGAAAGTATATTTAATGTAATGATATTTCAGTGTAGTATTTAACTTTCGATATAACCCGGATTTGACATTGCATATGTTTTCAACGTACAATCCTATAAACACATGGGGGGTGTTCCAATGTGTCACAAATGTTTCAAATCATGTTTTATGGTGTTTCGAGTTCAAGATGACATTACAAAACTCATGAGTATCTACAAGATCACCTCAATGTTACAAAGGCCACAATGACGATGTATGAGCCTCATTAAAAGTGATGTTTAACTAGAAAAATGAAAGTATATTTAATGGAATGATATATCAGTGAAGTGTTATCCTTCGAGACACACAAGATTTGATATACCACAGGTTCACAACGTGAAATGTTACTAATGCATGTTTCATTTTGAACATCCTTAACATTTGCAGATAACGTTACAGATGTTAGCATTTCGACGTGTGCTTGATGTTAGTTGTACTTTTGTCTTGAGAAGTTCGTTATCGTCTTGACTTCTTTGAGTGGCATTTTGTCTTGAGAAGTTCGTTATCGTCTTGACTTCTTTGAGTGGCATTTTAGAAGTTGGTTTAGCGAACTAATGTATGAAAGAAAGAAACCGAATGACGCAGATCATGTGTAATATAGTTTCACCATGTCGAGTCAAATGTAAGTTTTCTGAACTAAAATGAAGGTAGCTATAAATTACATATATCTATTTTGTATATAACTGCTCCGGTGAGAAAAGCTGTCTCAGCATCGTTTCACATAAGCATAATTGTACCGTTTCGTGCATTTGGTATTATGCGGTAAAAGAACTTAGAAAGAAAGGTTTTGTCAAGAGAATTGTACATGAATATAATTTGGTTATGATATTGAACCAACTGTTTATTTGGGACGGAAAATGTCAGAAACGATGCAGTATTTTTTTGACTGCATTCGCAGTGCAAGTTTATAAACTCTTAAAATTCAGTTAGTGAAACACTGTGACATTACACAATTACCTCCCAGCATAAATTCTTGCACACAAGCTATTGTGACATAAATCTTTAAGATCTGACTGTATTGGTAATTCGTGTTTCTCTAACGTAAAAAAACTTCAAAGTAAGAGGATAACGAGTTTCAATGAGTTTCAAGGCAACATAGCTGTAGGAAGTATACACATGGATTACTGAAGTGAGTGAGTTTACCTTACGCCGCACTTAGCAATATTCCATCTATATGGCGACGGTCTGTATCAGACAATACAGTGATCAACAGCATGAGCATCGATCTACGCAATTGGGATACGATGACATGTGTCAACCAAGTCATCGAGCCTGACCATCCGATCCCGCTAGTCGCTTCTTACGACAAGCATGGGTTGGTGAAGATCAATTCTAATCCGGATCTTCATGGGTAGGTGAAATATAGAACTGAAGATCAATTCCAACCCGGGTCTTTATGGGTTGGATCACTGAAAATCAGTGATGACACCCGGTGTCCGCAAAAAGGGTAAACATGTAATAGCCTACCGCTAGCACCTGCTTCTCATACAGTTGGCATAAAAAGTAAGTGTCTGTGTGTTACCTGAAGGAAGGTCGACTTTAAATAAACTTACAATCACGTCATAGCACTGGGCTACTTCTTTGTGTGGCATTTTAAAACTTGGGAAGTACAATATTAAACTTTATGGATAACAACTTCTTTATTTCGCGAGTGTGACGTTTCGATACAATACGTTTCATTAACGTTTATCATCAAAACGTTGAAAGAAATCACAATACATGTACATGCGATATTTATGTAATAGTGATCCAACTCATGCAGAAGACTTTTGGAACACTATTACATGAATATCACATGTACATATATTGTGATTTCATTCTACCTTTAATGATAACCTAATGACAATCGTAAAGGCACTATTTCACACCACACTTCACAGATAATGCATTTCTCTAATACTATCAGACCCCAGCTACCGTATAATATACTTTAAAAAAAATACGTATTTAGATTGAAATTTTAAATTTAAAATAATACGTTCGAATGAATTAATGCAACGTTGCATTAAATCGACTCTCGCACCCTCTACTGGCCGAACACTATTTCACGTGAACCCCATAGAGTTATGTCCCTTGGGGAGTTCTTTACGAATATCCGAAAAAACTCCTTTGGAGACAGAACGCAGTCCTAGATAAAATGACGCTAATGTCTGGCGCAAAATCATACACGCAACTTGCGACTGAAACCAGTTCGGCAAACATCGAGAACACCGCGTGCGACAGTTTTCGATGCACGGACCAATTGTTTACATTCCATACATAACAAGTGTTCTATGTTTGTAAGCGGTTTGCATCGAAGTTTCAATTATCGATTTCAGGCAAGTCGTAAGGGATAATAAGTCCTTTATTGTATCAATAGGAAGCTAAAGTAAGTGCATATGTCCCAATATATATAATATAGGCCAAAATATTGTCGAAAATGTGTGAAAATGTGCCTTTAAACTATTTTAGAATATCGGGAATCGGCAATTTAAAGTATTTCCAGAATAAATGTTGAGAGACGTGTCTCGTGTCCGAGTTAAAGATTATACTTTCATTACGACGCATCCTTGTTCCAGAACCGTGTGGCTACGATGCCCTTCCCCGACCCTCCTACCTTCAAGGGCGTATTCTGAACGCTCCTATTGCCGGGGTCTGCGACTGGCCGTGGATGGTGGCTGTTCGGGAGAACGCCTTCCCAAATCTTCGCCTGTGTTCGGGGGTTCTCATTGGGACGGATAAGGTTATTACGACAGCTTCCTGCATTATGAGGTAAGGCGGCAGTCTGGAGTGAGTGCACGCGAGTAGTGAGTTAAGTTTTACGTCGCGTTTAGCAATATTCCAGCAATATCACGGCAAGGGACACCAGACATGGGCTTCACACATTGTATGCAATACTACCCCTGCTTTTATCAACAATTATTATTCATAGTAATACCACTGCTTCTATACACAAACCGGGGCGGTGTGGTAGCCTAGTGGTTAAGCCTCGGGTTCAATTCCACACATGGGTACAATGTGTAAAGGCCCATTTCTGGTGTACACCGCCGCGATATTGCTGGATTATTGCCAAGTGCGGCGTAAAACTTAACTCACCCACTCACTATGTACAAAGCTACCAGTGCTCCTATCAATTCAAGCACCACTATCCTGTCTGCATACTGATACTCGATAGTGGTGATCAAATCTCTCAAGGCACTGCCCTTCACGACTCCCCTTAGATGTCATGATCCTATGATCGTGGGTTCGAATCCAATCTTTGTCATAATTATAATCATCGTTTTCACCAGAAACAGTAAAGCAATTAGACCTATTACACTTTCGCGACCGAAATCCAACCCCTCATTCACTCACTAACTCACTTTTGCAGATTGAACAACTCGCCGGCGTCACCTCTACAGGTAATTGCAGGTGAACATGACATCACAGCGGACTACGAGAACCTCAACGGACGCAACAACGACACCATCGTTCTGGTCAGAAGTGTCGTTACACACCCACAGTTCCTTGGAAAAGGTTTCACGTTGCAATGAATTCCTGTATAAATTGTAATGGCGCATATATTGCGTGTGGTGTGCATTTGAAAGTTTTCCCACTGGGATATATGATGTGCATCTATTCTTTTAGGGAACGTATGGTGCTTGAAAAATATTCTAATTTAAAAAAAATCATATTGCCATTCAGTGTCCTGCGCATTGATCAGTTCAAGTTACTCAGAGTAGGCTCTTTCTATGCCAAGCAACATATTTTTGTATATTCAATATCACAAGTAATTTAGTTATGACAATGCTCTGTGGTACCATACTGATATTTAAGAAAAGCATATAGCTGGATTAATTTCCTTTGTGATATTAAATTATGATGGAATAAAGATTTATCAAAATAATTTTAATTAACAATTGGCAAAATAATAATCAATATTAAAAATCCACAGACCAATGTTTGTGTTATTGACACGAGTTTTAATAATTTCTATTCCCGATGAGAGTTTGAAAGAGAAAGACAAGATAAAAGAATTTTACTGTTAGGCTCCTCTCCTGATATTACCCTAAGCAATTTTAGATTGTAATGAACATGATTGCATTTTTTACTAATGGAATATGATGTATGTGTACCAAAAAGCAGATGCTAAGTCTTGAACGTCAACGTCTGTCACGGTTGTACATGCACATACATTTGCCTACAGACAACGACATCGCTGTAGTACGGCTGCAGGAGCCAGTGACGTACGGGGACTGCGTGCTGCCCGCCTGTCTCCCCACATCCCGGGCCCCCCGGGGACTGTGGTCAGCAGCTGGTGGAGAAGTGTGCATACGCCGGCTGGGGGTTATATACTGGTGAGTGAGTGAGTGAGTTTAGTTTTACGCCGCACTCAGCAATATTCCCGCGGCGGTCTGTAAACAATCGAGTCTGGACCAGACAATCAAGTGATCAACAGCATGAGCATCGATCTACGCTTAGTCGCCTCTTACGATAAGCATGGGCTGCTGAAGATCAGTTGTAACCTGGATCTTCACGGGTGGTGAGATTTAGAACTGGATGTATGTTATTTTAACGCCGCACTATATTCCAGTTCCGTCATGGCTTGTAAATATTCGCGTATGAACCAGACAATCCAAAGAGTGACGTTATGAAAGTCTTCGAAAGAACTTGTTTATCATGTTGTGTGATGTAACCTTCGAAGTGCCAGCAACTTTAGTCCGATATTCTTGATATCCAAAAAATTCGTAATTCTGTCATAATCCCCCTAACAGCAGTTCGACAGTCTTTCTGCATCGATACATAGGTTGTCAGAATTTGATTTGTGAATCGAAATGTTATCTATGATGTAATCCAACAACATCTCACCAACCGACATCTGGTTAACGTCTTCATAAACATCTAACTGTTCTTTCCGCAAGCAGTCGACAAAGGCAATCCGACAAAATGTGTCTATTTGGGATTACACGTCTCAATGACTGTATAAGTAGTCATTGATTTGGTCCAATATTTTGAAAACACCGACACATTAGTAGCCTTGCAAATGTTTCAGTATGTATCTCAATACACAGGCACCATGTTTGATAAATACTTGCATCCTTCATTTTTTGTATAGAACACTTTCTATCCTCATGAACCGACATGAATTGTATGGAAACTGTATACATTTTCCGGCAACAACGATAACTGCAAAACCATATACCTAAAACTAAGAATTATGGGCCTAAATATATTTAAAGAACACGCTCCCATCGATCTTGCAGCAGACATTTTTTTTTAAAAGCCAGAAAAATCCAAAATATTTTCAAGCATTTTCTTGGACAATATACCTTTTCAGTAAAGTCCCTGGTCCCCATCGGAATATCAAATAGTCATCTCCTAATATTGATGTACTGACTGAGTTTGGTTTTACTCCGCTTTTAGCAATATTCCAGCAACATCACGGCGGGGGACACCAGAAATGGGCTTCACACATTGTGCCCATGTGGGGATTCGAACCCGGGTCTTCGGCGTGACGAGCCAACGCTTTAACCATTAGGCTACCCCACCGCCCCTAATATTGATGTAAATGTCTTATAGAAGCATGACGTTCTTGAAGTGTAACATGGATACATTCAAGTGTCATAATATGGAGAAATATTTTTCTAAATATTCTTATCATTTTCATAACACATTAGCGATTGTGTCATCAGTAGTTACAAACATTTAAACGACGATGACCGCTCACTTAAGATGAAAATAATAAGATTATTTATTAGTATATTAAATTTGTTTTAGTTATTGCCATCTTTTCATGAGATCTCAAAATGAATTTTCCAGTATTGCCATCAAGTCGATACAGAAAAACAAATGAATGTGTAATGGCCAAATGTTGTAAGTGAATAAAAAATTCAAAATAATCAATCGAGGATTGACGGACCAGCATCTTCTACAGCGTAGGATTAACTGAAATGTGAAATTTGTATTTCAGACCGTAACTTCTTACGTTCTGCCAAGCTACGAGCAGCATGGGGGAAGTACTACTACCAGGAACTGTGTTCCACCATCTTCCGGCTGGGTCGCAACAACCTTAACCCTGCCAACACCGTCTGTGTAGACCCCACAAACAAGGACCAGAGACCATGTCAGGTAGAACCGTTAGTCAATTAACGTTCTATGGTTGGGAGCTTGTTAATGTGATTTGAAACCTCTGGTTAACATTAACCCTGCCAACACAGTCTGTGTAGACCCCACAACCAAGGACCGAAGGCTGTGTCAGGTAGAACCGTTAGTCAATTAACGTTCTATGGTTGGGAGGTTGAGACCTCTTAATAACATTAACTTTGCCAACGCAGTCTGCGTAGACCCCACAAACAAGGTACAGAGGCCATGTTATGTAAAACCGTATTCACTTAACGAGGCTGGGAGGTTGTTGTGATTTGAAACCCAGGTTGTTTACGCACTAGTCGTATGATAAACAGATGGATGAAGATGCTCTTAATGCTGAATTATATTTGATTCCATTGTAGGGTGATGAGGGTGGAATGGTGGCTTGTGCTGAAAGAGGAAGGTGGATTCTGGAGTCCCTTATCAACGTGCCCAGCTGTCAAGACACGTATCCCACTTTAGGCGTCGATCTGCGCGCTCCCACCATCATCAACTTCATAAACTCAAACTGAAACATTGCCCTATACAAGAGGAACCATCTGCTAATCAGCGCCGAAGCTGCACCTTAAATATGTATATACTTGGTCATGTAATAAATATGTCGATGGAAAGAATGTGTTCCAGTTGTAAGTACGTTCTCACTTACACATAAAGCCGTATACAGTAAAATGAACTGGACAATACCACATCGTATGCTGCTATGGGATTGGTAAAACATGTTGAGTGACTGGATAGCGGGACAATTCACTGAGAATGGCAGTATTAAAACGGTTGTTTATCGTGTTACAGAACTGCATCGATATTCAGATCGTAGACACAGGGACGCAAGAACGGACACACGCACACACATATGTGCGCGCACACGCACAGGCACAATTCACAACACGGACTTGCAACAGCTTGCTATGCGGACTTTTTGACGTCAGCGAACTATGACGTCACTATTCTTTTCTCAGCCGTGCTAAACACCTCATTTCGGCCACATGCTCTCCAGTAATGCTGATTAACTTTTTACACTTAATATTGCAACTATTTACAAAATGCAAAATTAATAGAATTATTTATGACTGTTCTGTTAAGCAAAATACGCTCACAGACACATATACACACAGAGACACACGCAGACACATACTCGTGAAGAATAAAAGAATTAATAGAGTATTACTGACTGTTCCGTAAAGCAAACTACGCTCACACATATACACAAAGATATATACTCGAGAAGCATCACTTGTGTTGTACGTGCATCAGTGAGTGAGTGAGTTTGGTTTTACGCCGCTTTTTAGCAATATTCCAGCAATATCACGGCGGGGGACACCAGAAATGGGCTTCACACATTGTACCCATGTCGGGAATCGAACCCGGGTCTTCGGCGTGACGAGCGAACGCTTTAACCACTAGGTTACCCCACCGCCCCTACGTGCATCAGTACACAATGTGACCGTGTGTGTTCGTGTGACGGTCCCTACATGAATGTGTGTGTGACGACATACAAAGATTTAATAACATAAGTGCTAAATCTATGAGTGAGTGATTCAGATTTTACGCTCCATCACAGCAATTCACGCACAGGAAACTACACATATAAGGAACTCAAAGTGACCACTAATTTTTGTTCGTAATAACAGTAGTTATTTCCACCAAAATATACACCAAGCCGACAGGTAAAAAGAGCTAAGTTCGTTATATCCGTCAGTTCGTTATAACTGTGTTCGTAATAAACGCTATATATCATGAAATGTATAAGTTTAGTTCGGGGTTTTAACATGCTAACCGATCTATTTCTTCATAAGTGTATGTTAGAGCGTCCGCCCGGAGAGCGGAAGGTCGCGAGTTTGATCCCCGACCGCGTCATACCAAAAAACGTTAAAATATGGTACTTGTTGGTCCCTGTCTGGCGCTCGGCATTAATGGGTACAACAAGGACTGGTCGGATCGGAGTCAGTATAATGTGTCTGAGAGGGGTATTCGTGCTTCACTGCGGCATGGTATCTCAGTGGGCTAGCACTATAAAGCCAGCTTAAGTCTGGGCTAGTACAAGCAGCCGCACATACACATACACACGCATGCACATCGTCATATGAGCGAAATTTCACCCTAAATGAAACCTGTAGAAACAAATACTAGAATATGGTTAAAAAATCCAGTTTGGGATTTTTGGTCAGTGGTATTATTTTGCTCAAAGTGTATTTGAGGCATTGTCGATAAAAACTGTCATAAGTATTCAAATAATTGAGAAATCAAGACCTGATATTCAAATGGTTTCTTTGTACGGGATCCAACATACCAAATATAATTGCTCCAGGTGCATGTAGTTTTCTACAACGACTCAGCGAAATGTATAAAATAATGATCACCTCCCAGGTGCCTATGCATTGATTACTACGTCTTGCCTCTGACATGCTCTACAACCTTGATCTGACAGGAAGAAATAATAAAGAATGAGAACATTTGTATGGAAATACAACTTCCCTATTCTGTATTATACAGAATAAAGAAGTTGTGTATCCATAAAAATTGTCCTCATTCTTCATCTCCTCAACTTCTAGAATGCCAATCTAAGAAGGCAGAAATAGTATTTGATATTGTAAAAAAATCAATACTTTAACTCTTCTTAATAGCATGTTTGCATTTGCAGAATGAATTAGTGATATCGTGTTTGACATTGTAGCATGCAGTACCAGAACTCCTGTTTATGCATCATGTTTGACACTACAGAATGCAGAACCTCGGCTGATGATTATCTCGCGTACGATATTGTAGAATACGGTAGTTTAGTTGATAATAGTAATGTTGTAAAATACATTAAATTGGTTTGTGTTTCAATACTGAATATTGTAAAACACATTTACCGTCCAGTGCTGATATCACTGACTGACTGAGTTTAGTTTGACGCCGCTTTTAGCAATATTCCAGCAATATCACGGCGGGGGACACCAGAAATGGGCTTAACACATTGTGCCCATGTGGGGAATCGAACCCGGGTCTTCGGCGTGACGAGCCAACGCTTTAACCACTAGGCTACCCCCCCACCCAGTGCTGATATCATGCTTGACATTGTAGAATGGAGAACCTCGGCTGATGCTTATCTCGCGTACGATATTGTAGAATACGGTATTTTAGTTGATTATGGTAATGTTGTAAAATACATAAAAAATTGGTTTGTATTTGAATACTGAATATTGTAGAACACAATTTCCCGTCCAGTGTAGATATCATGTTTGGCATTGTAGACTGGAGCACTTTGCCTCATGTTGATATCGTGTTTGACATTGTAGAATGTAGAACCTCGGCTCATGTCGATATCATGCTTGACATTGTAAAATGGAGTACCTCGGCTGATGATTATCTCGCGTACGATATTGTAGTTGATAATAGTAATGCTGTAAAATACATTAAATTGGTTTGTATTTGAATACTGAATATTGTAAAACACATTTCCCGTCCAGTGCTGATATCATGCTTGACATTGTAGAATGTAGTACCTCGGCTCATGTTGATATCATGCTTGACATTGTAGAATGTAGTACCTCGACTCACGTTGATTCGTGTTTGACATTGTAGAATGGATTACCTCGGCTCATGTTGATATCATGCTTGACATTTTAGAGTAGAATGTAGTACCTCGACTCATGTTGATATCCTGACATTGTAGAATGTAGTGCCTCGGCTCATGTTGATATCATGCTTGACATTGTAGAATGTAGTACCTCGACTCATGTTGATATCATGCTTGACATTGTAGAATGTAGTGCCTCGACTCATGTTGATATCATGCTTGACATTGTAGAATGTAGTGCCTCGACTCATGTTGATATCATGCTTGACATTGTAGAATGTAGTACCTCGGCTCATGTTGATATCATGCTTGACATTGTAGACATTGTAGAATGTAGTACCTCGGCTCATGTTGATATCATGCTTGACATTGACATTGTAGTACCTCGACTCATGTAGTGCCTCGATTACATGTTGATATCATGCTTCATTGTAGAATGTAGTACCTCGACTCATGTTGATATCATGCTTGACATTGTAGAATGTAGTGCCTCGACTCATGTTGATATCATGTTTGACATTGTAGAATGGAGTACTTTGGCTCATGTTGATATCATGCTTGACATTATAGAATGTAGTGGCTCAAAACATGTTGATTCGTGTTTGACATTGTAGAATGGATTACCTCGGCTCATGTTGATATCATGCTTGACATTGTAGAATGTAGTACCTCTGCTCATGTTGATATCATGCTTGACATTGTAGAATGTAGTACCTCGACTCATGTTGATATCATGCTTGACATTGTAGAATGTAGTGCCTCGACTCATGTTGATATCATGCTTGACATTGTAGAATGTAGTACCTCGGCTCATGTTGATATCATGCTTGACATTGTAGAATGTAGTGCCTCGACTCATGTTGATATCATGTTTGACATTGTAGAATGTAGTACCTCGGCTCATGTTGATATCATGCTTGACATTGTAGAATGTAGTACCTCGGCTCATGTTGATATCATGCTTGACATTGTAGAATGTAGTACCTCGACTCATGTTGATTCGTGTTTGACATGGTAGAATGGATTACAACATGGATTCGTGGTTCATGTTGATATCATGCTTGACATTGTAGAATGTAGTACCTCGACTCATGTCGATATCATGCTTGACATTGTAGAATGTAGTGCCTCGACTCATGTTGATATCATGCTTGACATTGTAGAATGTAGTACCTCGGCTCATGTTGATATCATGCTTGACATTGTAGAATGTAGTACCTCGGCTCATGTTGATATCATGCTTGACATTGTAGAATGTAGTACCTCGGCTCATGTTGATATGTTTGACATTGATGTAGTACCTCGGCTCATGTTTGATATTGTAGAATGTAGTACCTCGGCTCATGTTGATTCGTGTTTGACATTGTAGAATGGATTACCTCGGCTCATGTTGATATCGTGTTTGACATTGTAGAATGTAGTACCTCGGCTCATGTTGATATCGTGTTTGACATTGTAGAATGTAGTACCTCGGCTGATGTTGATTCGTGTTTGACATTGTAGAATGGATTACCTCGGCTCATGTTGATTCGTGTTTGACATTGTAGAATGTAGTACCTCGGCTCATGTTGATATCATGCTTGACATTGTAGAATGTAGTACCTCGACTCATGTTGATTCGTGCTTGACATTGTAGAATAGAGTACCTCGGCTCATTGTTCATATCATGCTTGACATTGTAGAATGTAGTGCCTCGACTCATGTTGATATCATGCTTGACATTGTAAAATGTAGTGCCTCGACTCATGTTGATATCATGCTTGACATTGTAGAAATGTAGTAACCCGGCTCATGTTGATACCATGTTAATATCATGTTTGACATTGTAGAATGTAGTGCCTCGGCTCATGTTGATATCATGATATTTGACATTGTAGAATGTAGTACCTCGACTCATGTTGATATCATGTTTGACATTGTAGAATGTAGTGATTACCTCGGCTCATGTTGATATCATGCTTGACATTGTAGAATGTAGTGCCTCGACTCATGTTGATATCATGCTTGACATTGTAGAATGTAGTGCCTCGACTCATGTTGATATCATGCTTGACATTGTAGAATGTAGTGCCTCGGCTCATGTTGATATCATGCTTGACATTGTAGAATGTAGTGCCTCGACTCATGTTGATATCATGCTTGACATTGTAGAATGTAGTGCCTCGACTCATGTTGATATCATGCTTGACATTGTAGAATGTAGTGCCTCGACTCATGTTGATATCATGCTTGACATTGTAGAATGTAGTGCCTCGACTCATGTTGATATCATGCTTGACATTGTAGAATGTAGACTCATGTTGATATCTCGACATTGTGTTGATATCATGTTGATATCGTGTTTGACATTGTAGAATTGATGTTGATCATGCTTGACATTGTAGAATGTAGTACCTCGACTCATGTTGATATCATGCTCATGTTGACATTGTAGAATGTAGTACCTCGACTCATGTTGATATCATGCTTGACATTGTAGAATGTAGTGCCTCGACTCATGTTGATATCATGCTTGACATTGTAGAATGTAGTACCTCGGCTCATGTTGATATCATGTTGATTGTAATGTAGTGCCTCGACTCATGTTGATATCATGCTTGACATTGTAGAATGTAGTACCTCGGCTCATGTTGATATCATGCTTGACATTGTAGAATGTAGTGCCTCGACTCATGTTGATATCATGCTTGACATTGTAGAATGTAGTGCCTCGGCTCATGTTGATATCATGTTGATATGCTTGACATTGTAGAATGTAGTACCTCGGCTCATGTGATATGATGTTTCATTGTAGAATTGACATTGTAGAATGTAGTACCTCGACTCATGTTGATATCATGCTTGACATTGTAGAATGTAGTGCCTCGGCTCATGTTGATATCGTGTTTGACATTGTAGAATGTAGTACCTCGGCTCATGTTGATGTCGTGTTTGACATTGTAGAATGTAGTGCCTCGACTCATGTTGATATCGTGTTTGACATTATAGAATGCAGTACCTCATCTCTAGCCGATATCGTGTTCCTTCTGGACACGTCCGGGAGTGTGGGACCAACGGATTTTGCCATGGAAGTGTCCTTTCTGTGCAACTTCGTCCAAGGTTTTTCTGTGGGTCCCTCCGCAGTGCAGTTTGGTGTGCTCCTCTTCTCCTCGGGTGTCTTAAATCAATTCAGCCTTTATCGATACGACAACCGTGCTGATCTTGTTCAGGTACAGTTGTACTCATTTTAATATGGATACTTCATGTTATTGCGGGAAGGTGGGGTAGCCCAGTGGTTAAAGCGGTCGCTCGACATGCCGAAGACCCGGGTTCGATTTCCCATATGGGTAAAATGTGTGAAGTCCATTTCTGGTGTCCCCCGCCATGGTATTGCTGGAATATTGCTAAAAGCGGAGAAAAAATAAACTCACTCACGCATGCTGGTGCTCTTAACCCGGATGTATTCATACATTTTTCTTTCTGATTATAGACCATTTGGGTCGTTGAGAAATGTTGGTTCATTGCACATCTTTGAACCATGATTTTGTAATTTGTACGATCATTGTCTCAACTGTTAACTCACTCACTGATAAGTGAGTCAATTTCATTGTACGATTATTAAACGAAGTCAAATTATGAGTTAAAAGATTAGTTACATGCACTTTAGTTGAATAGATCGATGCTCATGGTGTCAATTACTCGCTCGTCTGGTTTAGGCATCTAGTTTTTTTAAGAAGTAGTAAATGCATATAGATATGTTGCCTTTAATAGTTACTCACCAACTCCTAAAATGCCAATCAAACAGTTCACCGTTATATAACTGGAGTATAGCTGGGTGTGGCGTTAAACAATAAATGACTGTTACCAACAGATGAACAACTTGACGGCCATTTGTTGACGAGCAAACCTGCAAGAGCTCGTCCAGGCTCGTCACTCAAGGCTATCATTATTTAACACGTCACAATTTAATTCTGAACACCAAAAGTCCAGAAACTCTCCGCACTGTGGCCACTTTCTGACAAAGGATTTGAAAAAAATAAACGTCATGCAGTTATGAATATATGATAATAATGAAAAAATGATAAACTCGCTCGAAATCATGTTTTTGAGGTTGTAAGTGAATGAATGTATGTTTATAAGTATCATGAGAAAAACATTAAATATTTGGACTTAATTCGACTAATGTATAGGGGTTTTAAACATGCTCAAATGCATATTTTTTTTATATTTCAGAGGTTGTAATTGAATGAAGGTATGGCCGAAAACAATTTGGCCCATGGGCGAGAATATTTACTTTTGCTCAAAAAGATGTTTTTTAATGTTTTGGAGGTTGTAAATGAATGAAAGTATGTTTATAAACATCATGACAAAAAATTAAATCATTTGGACTTAATTCGACTAATTTAGAGCTTCATTAAAAATGCTCAAAATACATGGGTTTTTGATATTTAAGAGGTTGTAATTGAAAGAAAGTATGTTAATAAGTTAATAATTGGCATAAAAAGGAAAACGGTTCCGTGTGAGATCATACTAATTTTAGGAAATTGAGTGAGAGTTCATTGAAAATGACCATTGCAGGTAATACATATTCAGTTTATCTGTTGTTTTGAAGGCAATTCAATCTTTGAGATACCGCGGCGGTGAAACGAACACAGCAAGTGCGCTCACCTTCGTCCGAGAAAACAGCTTTCTACCCATTAATGGAGGTCGCCCAGGAGCTACCCAAGTCCTCATCGTCATCACAGACGGTCAGTCCGCGAACAGGGCTAACACAGCCTCTGAAGCAAATCTGTTGCACCAAAATGGCATCAAGGTCATTTCTATTGGCGTTGGAAGCGGTGTTAACATGGAGGAACTCCGAGCAATAGCATCAAACAACGGCTTGGTATTCACAGCTGCTAGCTTCAGTGCTTTGGAAATTGTCAAAGACGAAATCCAGAACACAACGTGTAAGTTAAAAATCCCCTTCTCCTCATATAGACATCCCGGGTATTGTTCTGGACATCTGCACACCTCACCCAGAGATATACTGGATGTGCACATGGATGTGGGGAGTGCGTGTGTGTTTGTGTGTCCTGGGGGAGGAGTTTGTTCGAGGTCGCAGTGGCAGAGGTTTTGGATGTAGTCTCTGGATGAATGTCTGCAGACTTTTTACTGGCTAGGCAAAGTTGTTTTTCCATAACCAATGCTTGTCGTAAGAAAAGACTAAAGGGATCGGGTGGTCAGTCTCGCTGAGTTAGTTGAAACGTGTCATCGTATCCCAATTGAGTAGATAGATGCTCATGCTGTTGATCACTGGATTGTCTAGTCCAGATTGCCGATATTATAGCTGGAATATTGCTGAGTGGGGCGTTTAACGGCAAACAATCTGTCAAAGTAATGGTTTTAACCCGTATTGAATATCATCGAAACCACTCCGAGATTTTCTTGTTACTCAGTGAAAGACAGAGATGTCATATCGTAACATGAAGAAGCGATTGTACAACTCTCGATGTATCATTGAGCCAGTTTGGTCATTTTTGTCTACATATTTTGAATCCATGGTTGCTATTATTCATTCCATGTGTACCGTTATGTCTTTTTGTTCCAGGTACGGAAATCGGACCAGATGGTAAGTCAGTTTTCGTTTTATTCAGGGTCAGTATATATTCATGAATTCAGATTAAAGTTTGTTCCCCAGAACCATGTGGTGATGGTGGTAAGTCAGTTTATCTTTTGTTCAAGGTCAGTTTATGTTCATCAATTCAGATTGAGTGACTGAGTGAGTTAAGTTTCACGCCTCTGGACCAGACAATCCAGTGTTGAACAGTATGATCAGGAGACTTCATGAAGTTTCAAAGCAGAATCTGTTTTCGTTGCTACTATTGATATTTCATTTCCCCCAGAGCCATGTGGTGAAGCTGCACTGCCAACAGTAACTGGCCGAATGCTGAATGCCCCCATTGCTGGGTTGTGTGAGTGGCCCTGGATGGTGTCTGTACGGCTAGGGCCTGGGAACATCCCTGCTCACAGGTGTACAGGGGTTCTGATCGGGAAGAGGAAGGTGATCACAACCGCCTCTTGTGCGTCAAGGTACAGGCACAAACACAGAAATCACACAATTCAATGTCTGATCACATTACAATCGTTTGGGTAAAAGCATTGCCTTTACTAACATAATGTAAATAGAGGATGTTGAATTTTAATGCTATCGACTGACATTAGACAGTTGTCATTTTCACGCTGCCACTCGCACGCAAATATCAACGTTCCCAATTAAGTCAGTCGATGAGATGATGTTTGACGTGAAAACACATGTTCTCCTTGTCATGTGTTTTCTCACACGAGTGTCACTGATGACAAAGTGTTATTTCACCCAAGTAACACTGTGATAAAACTTGCATTACGTCACAAAATGCAGAATCAAATGTCAATAATATGTATGTATATTCCAAAAAATTATTTTTGGGAATAACTTACGACTGCACACTTGTCGATTATTCGTCGTTTTTACGAATGCTGTTAGCATCCATTTGGTTCAATATCAACAAATTAATAAGAAACCACATCGAAACAGAATTGGTCATGTCAGGCAGTTGACAGTGTTGGGAAACTTATCTCATTCCCAGGTACACCCCACACAGTGTTATTGTTGGTGAGAACAACCTGCTGTTGGAGAATGAAGCCTTGAATGCAAACAACTTTGAAGTTGTTGTTAAGATCAACAAAACTGTCATCCATCCACAGCATGCAGGCAATGGTAATACAAGATCACTTACTAGTCTCCATTGACTATATAGCTCATTACCTTATGGGTATCGTGGTCCCTTGTGTTATAGCCTATTATCTTATGGGTATCGAGGTTCCTCATGTTTATAGCTCATTACCTTTTAAGTATCGTGGTTCTTCGTGTTTATAGCTCATTATCTTATGGGTATCGTGATACTTTGTGTTTATAGCTTATTATCTTATGGGTATCGAGGTTCCTCGTGTTTATAGCTTATTATCTTATGGGTATCGAGGTTCCTCGTGTTTATAGCTCATTATCATATGGGTATCGTGATTCCTTGTGTTTATAGCTAATTATCTTATGGGTATCGAGGTCTCTTGCGTTTATAGCTCATTATCTTATGGATATCGAGGTCTCTGGTATTTATAGCCCATTACCTTGTGGGTGTCGAGGTCCCTTGCATTTATAGCTCATTAGCGTGTGGGTACATATGTTCCTTGTGTTATAGCTCATTACCTCATCCTGATATTAATGTGTCAGCCACGAGATACTGTTCAAAGAGCAGTTCGACATACCACAGTCACTTAACAAACCTTTCCATTGTTGTAGGTTACGACATTGCTGTTCTTCATCTTGAGGAAGACGTTGTCTTCAACAGATGTGTCCTCCCCGCCTGTCTTCCTGGACCACGTGACAGCTCATGTGGAGACTCCACCTTGTGGACATGTTCCTTTGCTGGTTGGGGAATCTACAGCGGTGCGTCAACTTTTTTCACGAAGCTAAAAATATGGATATTTTTCTACTCTTGTTTAACGCCAGGGACAGACGTATGCCAGTAAATATTTAAGTTAATGTCTACCTGTAAATAATGGAATCTGGAATAAGCAGATATTACAGTCCTTGACCTTGGGTTACAATGACGCGCTATCAACCAACTCAAGCCTGGACACAGTTTTAAAGCCGCCACTTAAAGTACATATTAATGATGATCAGATCTAACTAGGTGAGTGAGTGAATGAGATAAGTTTTACGCCACACTCAGCAATATTCCAGCTCTATGGCGGCGGTCTGTAAATAATCGAGTCTGGACCAGACAATCCAGTGATCAACAGCATGAGCATCGATCTGCGCAATTGCTCTGTCTTGGATATTTGAAATGTTATTCCAGGAACAGGTTGCGTTACACAAGCATATACTTCCTTAAAAATGCCATTCACATTCTAACGTTCCACCTGTGAAGTTACAACTGATATTCTGCTTGTCGAGTGGTGTGACTCGGTGACTGTGTTGCAGCATGCCACTGCATCACAACGACGTTGATCGATGCTTATGATATTAGTCACTGGAATTTCCTATCCAGACCGCCGCCACACAGCTGGAATATTTTTGAATGTGGCGTTAAACAACCAGCAAACATTTCTATTGATGTATCTTAGATCCCTGTTCTCGTACCAGTTCTATGTATTGTATGCTGATTTCAGATGTGACATTGTCTCTCTCCCGCCGACTGCGAGAGACCAGGGGAAAGTATCTAAACCCTTCGGTTTGTGACGCCGTCTACTCACAGACAAGAGGGCGCAGCCCGCCTGGAAACACTGTCTGCCTAGTACCACATAACCCCTCACAAGCGCCTTGTGAGGTATGACTTGCCAAGCGGAATTATTGTCCGTCAATTCATCGTACTTACCTGCTGGATTATCACTTTCATTCATAGCACTGAATAACCTTTTACCTTGAACCAATTAAATACTTAAGCAATATAAGCTTGTCCAAAGTTTCGACTTACACTAAGTTTATGGATCTAGGCTCACGTCACTTGATTGTCTGATCCAGACTCGATAGTTGACAGTCTAACAGAGGGGTCTGTTGTGATTTGAAACCTCTAGTGATTGGTGATAGTCGTGTATGTTCCAAGAGCATGCTGTATAAAGAACATCGTATATTTAGTAATTACAGGATGGCTATTTCACTTTGAAGACCTTACTTTTCAGGGCGACGAAGGGGGCATGGTCAGATGTCTGGTACAAGACAAATGGATTTTTCAGTCCCTCATTAACTACCCCAGCTGCACCGACAGTTTCCCCTCCCTCGGTGTCGACCTGAGAGACCCAGACATCCTCAACTTTATCAGAAGTAACTGATCAAGCCAACCTGCTTTCCCTGCATTTCATGAAATAAACAGATTCGCTACATAGTTCCGCCTTGTTTATTGCATTCATTGAGATATGTGTTTGTTTGTTTACTTGTTTCATGCAACACTTAGTAATACACCGGATCTATCACGGTTGTCTTTCATGCATGGAGTGTGGACCAGACAATCTAGTGACTGATACATGAGCATCGACCTACGCTACTGAGATACCATGACAACAATCAACCAAGGCAGCAAGCCTGACCCCCTGATCCCAACAAACAGGGTTTTCTGCAAGTTTAATGCTACAACAGCTTAATGCTTCGCAGTCAGGTAAACATATTTAGAATGTTAGTGGTACCCATCGTAAGAAGGTCATGTCTACGCATTATTTGATACAATAATGGGCGTTTACAACAATTGAATAATTATTATGCACTTGCATTATCAATACAGAAACGGTATGATTCCGGTTTGCATTTTGTCCCAAGCTGCCTATGATTGCCGTACGAATCGTCTTATTAGAACTAGCGAGCTTTCCTTGTTAGAATTATCAACAATATATTCTTGTTGTATTTAATCAATTCCAGATATTAAACAAAACCCAATGTCTGTCTTGAGCATTGGTATTTTGTTTGAAAGGAAATGAACACTGATCAAATTAAAAGTGAGTGAGTGAGTGATGTTTTACGCCACTTTTAGCGATATTCACGCAATATCACGACAGGAGACTTCAAACATTGTATACAGGTTTTCTCGTGACGTGCATACCCATATGGAACAAAGTATTTCGCTAGTGGATAAATCTGACTTATGGACGCCATGTCCGTGCACTAAAACAGGATTAGGCATTATAGTCTATTAAGATGCATTTGGCGCACCCTCCACAGTAGCACGATGATATGGGGTCACTTTTTTTATTTCACAAGGACTAGCCATCAGTAGGCTACTGGAGCTTGTTAACTACCGCGTACCGCGAAGCTGATGGCGCCTATAAGTTTTGATTAAGATGTACATAAAGTTTATTGAAACATTCCTAAAAATGTGAACTATCGTTTCAACCTTGAGGTAGTACTCTGGAACAAAATATACATAATATATATACACATACATATGATACAAAACGTTATAAAATGCTGCTATGTTGAAAGAAGTCGTCAGAATAATGCAAACTATAGGTCCAAAACACAACCACGATACCAATATACAATACATTACCATCGAATGGCAATTTGATGCTTGTTTTATTTCAAGCCACCATGAAACATGAGACTATTGTTTCCTTGGCAGTTTAGTTTTCAGAACGTGACATGCCTGTTTTAAGCCAAACGAGTCAGTTACATGCACCTCTGTAAATGTGTTCAATGAAGACGACATTCATCAGAAGATCTCTTCAGTTGTCTCAGTGACAATCACATGATGAATGATGCATGTCCATAGATATACAGTTTAACCGTACTGTCAGCGTATCGGTGAAAGGGAGACAATATGACGCCGTCTATCTATATAAATTGCACGCATAATGATTTCAAGTTTGCTTCGCGCAAACATCGAGGGTCATGACTAAGAATCATGACAGTTTAAACAAAGACCATTACTTGTTGAATTGCCTCCACATTGGCAACGAGGCCAGGTCTCTCCTCTTTGAACCCACACCATGGTGTCCATTCCCTCTGTGTGACATACAACCTCCTGACGATACCTCCAGCCCTGCAGCCGTCACACTACACGTACATACAGATACAGTGTCACGGCCGTACATTCAGTCTTGTGAGGAGGACGTCTTAGAAACATGACGCTAATATTGTAGAACACTTCCTTCAGTCAACAGTCTTTCTGCCTGATCTGCGAGCAGTGTAATTATGTTTTACACACTCATCACATGCATCACCATTTAATATCATTTTGATGCTTGTTTCATACTAAACCACCATTAAACATAGGGCTATTGTTTCCTCAGCCGTTTAGTTTTCAGTACGTGACATGCTTGTTTTAAGACCAGCGAGTTTTATGCATCGCTATAAATGTATTTGGTAAAGCTGACAAGCATCAGAACATGTCTCCAGTTGTTTCAGTGACAATCATCAGAACATATCTCCAGTTGTATCAGTGACAATGTGGAATGATGCATGTTCAATAATATAAGGTTTTACTGATGGGAGAGACAACTTGACAATACAAAGTCGCCTATTTATATAAATTACTCTTGAAATGAAACGGTCATTATTAAGAACCAGTTGTTTTTGACACATTAAATTCCCCGTCGCTAGCAAGTATATCCTCCCATGAGGTCAGGTCTCCACACTTCGAACCCAAGCATCAGAACATGTCTTCACCTGTTGCAGTGACAATCATCACAGCATGTCTTCAGTTATTTTAGTAACAACCATCAGAACACGTCTTCAGTTGTTTCAGTGACAATCATCAGAACACGTCTCCAGTTATTTCAGTGACAATCATCAGAACACGTATCCAGTGTTTCAGTGACAATCATCAGAACACGTCTCCACTTGTTTCAGTGACAATCATCAGAACACGTCTCCACTTGTTTCAGTGACAATCAACAGAACACGCCTCCGGTTGTTTCAGTGACAATAATCAGAATACGTCTTCACCTGTTGCAGTGACAATCAACAGAACACGTCTTTAGTTGTTTCAGTGTCAATCAACAGAACACGTCTTCACCTGTTGCAGTGACAACCATCAGAACACGTCTTTAGTTGTTTCAGTGACAACCATCAGAACACGTTTTCAGTTGTTTCAGTGACAATTAACATAACACGTTTTAAATTGTTTCAATGACAATGATGCGTGGAATGATGCATGTTCAAAAATACAAGGTTTTACTGATGGGAGAGACAACTTGACAATAAATAGTCGACTATTTATATAAATTACTCTTGAAATGAAACGGTTCTTACTAAGAATCAGTTGGTTTTGACATTTTAAATTCCCTCCACGCTAGCAAGTATATCCTCCCATGAGGTCAGGTCTCTCTACTGCGAACCCACACCATGGTGTCCATTCCCTGACGATACCTCCCGCCCTGCAGCCGTCACACTACACGTACATACAGATACAGTGTCACGGCCGTACATTCATTCTTGTGAGGAGGACGTCTTAGAAACATGATGCTAATATTGTACAACACTAAGTCTTCCTTCAGTCAACAGCCTTTGTGACTGACCCCTGAACACTGTAAATATGCGTATACACACGTACTTTAGGTTCTTACTGTATGAATTCAACTCTGTCATCTTCCACCCTATATTCTGTGTCAGTGGCCATGATGGTTGTGTACTCAGTTTGACTTCAGGTTAAGATGTTTCACATTGATCAGTTGCTGTCCAATAGCCATTTTTCTTTTATCGTCCTTACCATCCCAGGTTGTAATAAACCCGTGGAACTGCTTAGTCACTGTCATAGTCATGTCTATATTTAAAGATGCATCGTGACAAGACGGTAGGACAAGAGGGACGACTTAAGATTGCCCTATATTTCGATATGTGTTGTGACGTTTGAGGCACAATCTTTTTACGAAGATTTAAGAAGGAAGTGACAACATTGGAGACCTGGTAAAAAATTCTAAACTTATTATTTTTGTGTTTTTAATAATTGCACAGTGTATTTCACCATATCTTCCAAACTTCAGGGGTGGGGAGGGGGGTGGGGGAGGGAGGGAGATGTCCAGATTTAACACAACAGTAACGAATATGATGCATTATCTTACCTCACACATAAATGTGGCTTTCTGATTGGCTGAGCTCTCATCTATTATTTTCAATGTACCCCGCTTACAAGCGAGTAACATTTCAATGTAGCCCGCCGTCAATCAACTTTTGTACTTCGTGGTAGTAATTCTTTATCTCGAATAACATTGAATCACGTACGATGTACGGAAATTACCGATGTTTTGCGAATGCAAATTTGATGGAAGGGAGATAACTCTAAATCTGTTTTTCTTGTCAGCAAGTTCTAGCGATGGCTACAAAAAGATTTGTATTCGTGCTTCAAACAATTAATGTCGATTTATATTTGATTCCTCTGTAGGGTGATGAAGGTGGAATGGTGGCTTGTGCTGAAAGAGGAAGGTGGATTCTGGAGTCCCTTATCAACGTGCCCAGCTGTCAAGACACGTATCCCACTTTAGGCGTCGATCTGCGCGCTCCCACAATCATCAACTTCATAAACTCAAACTGAAACATTGCCCTATACAAGAGGAACCATATGCTAATCAGCGCCGAAGCTGCACCTTATATATGTATATACTTGGTCATGTAATAAATATATCGAATGAAAAAATGTGTTCCAGTTGTAAGTAAGTTCTCACTTACACAATAACCCATATACAGTAAAATGAACTGGACAATACCAAATCGCGTGCTGCTATGGGATTGGTAAAACATGTTGAGTGACTGTATAGCGGGCAATTCACTGACAATGGCAGTATTAAAACGGTTGTTTATCGTGTTACAGAACTGCCTCGATATTCAAATCTTAGACATATCTCACACGCAGGCACGCGAGATCGGACACACGCACATATATATTATGTGCGCGCACCTACACATTCACAACACGAGCTTGAAGCAGCTTGCCCTGCGGACTATGACGTCACTATTATTTTCTCTGCCGTGCTAAACGCCTCATTTCGGCCTCATTGTGCTCTCCAGTAATGCTGTTTAACTCTTTACACTTAACATTGCAACTTTTTACAAAATGAAACATTAATAGAATTATTACTGACTGTTCTGTTAAGCAAAACACGTTCACAGACACATATACACACGGTGCCTACATGAATGTGTGTGTGATGACATACAAAGATTTAATAACATAAGTGCTAAATCTATGAGTGATTCGGATTTTACGTTCTCCTGAACAGCAACTGACGTACAGATATAACGAACTCAAAGTGACCGCTAAGTTTAGTTCGTACTCACCGTAGTAAATTAAACACATTTCGAGTATAATATAGACCAAGAGGACAGGTAAAAAAAGCTAAATTCGTTATATCCTTCAGTTCGTGTATTCGTAATAAACGGAGTTCACAATGTATCATGAAACGTAGAAAGTTTAGTTCCGGGTTTTAACATGCCACCCATCCTTTTAACCCACAAGTGCATGTGTCTGGGGATTTAATGTAACCAAGAATTCCCTTGGTAAGTTATTTATGCTCCTTGTGGCGTCCTAGGGGCCTACACATAATACCTAGTGTGCATGTCTTTGTTTGCGTATAACATGCGCATAACCACTTAGGTGGGGGGTGTGGGAGGCGGGAAGGGGTCAACAACATGCTTTGCAAAATACCAATTCAGAAGAGCAAATTGTTAGTGCCAGATGGTAGACTGGTAAATTGACGAGAAAGTTTAGTTGATTTGAATGTCAGCGCCTTGAGCATGTACTAATTGCGTGGATATGTGCGTTATATAAATATCCTATAATAATATATTAATGTAATAATCGGTGACTACAAGTTAACCCAACCGTTATGTACATGTTGATGTAATTTATCCGATATGGCAGACAGTGTTCACCATCTATTCAAATAGCTACGCTCTAGACATTTAAAAACGTTTTCATTTTCGTCAAACCTTCCATTTCAAATAAGACCATACCAATTGGCGAGGCATTCCAGCGGGACAATGTCTTGCATGTGTGGTTAATTTCCACACAACCTGCGGTGGGGTAGCCTAGTGGTTAAAGAGTTCGCTCGTTACCCCGAAAACCCGGATTCGATTCCCTACATGGGTACAATGTGTGAAGCCCATTTCTGGTGTCCCTCGCCGTGATATTGCTGGAATATTTGGAATATTGCTAAAAGCGGCGTAAAACCACACCCACTCCTCACTCATTTCCACTAAAAAAATACAACCATTGTACTGTTGTAAGGCAGTATTCTTAAATGATGATGTAATCGTATTACACTGTTTGTAGAATGGGTCTGTTTCGGAAGCCTGACTGATGTTTCAGGGAGAACACTATTACCACTTGCCACATTTATTACCACTGCTATCATATTACAATTGCAATTTTTCTGCCACTGAATTATGTAGCTTCACTCTATTGCGTCATTGTAGTTATTTTGCAGTACTTTCGATTGATTTGTAAACCTAGTTAATTAAACAAGTATATAATATAAATAAAATTTGAATTATTTAGTGTATTGATTTCATCATAGATGTGCTGTTTCAGTTTAGTTTGAAAATCGACACAAAACAGTGCCTATTGATATGTTTAAGGTATGGAGTTCGCACTCCCATATTTATAGGTGGTTACGATATCCACTTTGTCCTACGTCAATACCAGGGATTACCGATGGTCCGCCAATAGACGCTGTAGGGTTACACAAAATCACTTCAAATACGATTGACTGAAACAATTATTATTCAAATGAAAATCTTTGAGTGAGTGAAGTATATCTCTCTCGCAATCGCATACCACCCAACGTGTATATTTTGTAGAATCGAAAGTAAACATTGAAGTGAGTGAAGTAAAATCTTTGAGTGAGTGAAATAAATCTCTTTCGTAATCGCATACCTCCCAACATGTATATTTTGTAGAATCGAAAGTAAACATTGAAGGTTTGCACTGATTTAAAATATGGTGGACCCACAAAAAATCGCTCTTTTGATCTGAGTGAAATGAGTGACGATATGAAACAACGATAATAGACTTGAAACAAACCATAGTTCTGTCATGATGAGGACGACGACGATGATGGAACACTGCACATCATTAAACATTGATTATACACTGAAAATGTGCACCTGGAAACTGCCAAGAAAGCCCCAGTGTCATCTCAGTTCACATCATGTGCACCTGCAAATGGAGACTCACCTGCAAATGGAGACAAGTAGCCAAATCAAGAGAGCTTGTACAGGCTTACGTGCATGAATTTCACAAACAGACACCCTCTAGATGCAACCAACAATGTCTTGTTTGCCAGGCCAATCCGCGTAATTAAATGAAAATTTACTCAGCAATGTTTGTATGATGAATAAAGAAGATTAGATTCTCATGTTGAAAAAAATATATATTCACTTTTGATAAGATTTTGTCACTGATAAATGGAGAGGTTGTTATATTGACAACGTTCCAACACTGTTTACAAAGACTCTGTACACAGGCATCTCATTGCTTACATAGTTGACTTAAGGAGTGGAAAAGGTGTTTATAATTCCAAAGACGAAAACAAGATATCATGTATGGTTTGAATACTTGAATGTGATGTTCTGACGTACAACGAAACTCATTACAATACGACTTTTTACTGGAGTACAATATCCCCCTTGTGTAAAGATGTGGAAAAAAACTCCCTTCACAAGTGGTTGCTTCTGATCCAACTCTAAGGAACTTTGACCAATCAAATTGAAGGATGCTGGTGAATTAGTAATTTACTTTTTAACAACGATCCGCCATATTTTCTTTACAATGTCGATTCGGAAATTTCAAACTACAAAAACTACACGAAACCCATTAGCTCTACAAGTTGTAGAAAATATCCACAAAACGTGCTTCACTTCCTTGTACCAAGAAATTAAAAACCCCTACACTGATTGGCTTTATAAACGGTGAGGCGAACCCAGAAGGGTTAGTCAGATCATTGGGTATCGTTCCGATAACGATCTGATTACAACGTGATTGCAAGAGTCGAATAGCTGTCCGGTGCAGTATGATAGGTGCCCTGTTCATCCTGGCGCTGATGCCCGTGTCGGCAATCGGACAAGTTACAACTGGTAAGTTCTGGTGAGACAACGGTTTTAAAATAATGTTCTCCCTAAATGAAACCTGTAGAAACAAATACTAGAATATGGTTAAAAAATCCAGTTTGGGATTTTTGGTCAGTGGTATTATTTTGCTCAAAGTGTATTTGAGGCATTATCGATAAAAACTGTCATAAGTATTCAAATAATTGAGAAATCAAGACCTGATATTCAAATGGTTTCTTTGTACGGGATCTAACATACCAAATATAATTGCTCCAGGTGCATGTAGTTTTCTACAACGACTCAGCGAAATGTATAAAATAATGATCACCTCCCAGGTGCCTATGCATTGATTACTACGTCTTACCTCTGACATGCTCTACAACCTTGATCTGACAGGTAGAAATAATAAAGAATGAGAACATTTGTATGGAAATACAACTTGCCTATTCTGTATAAGAGTTGTCAAGCAAGTGGCATTAGAATCTATGTCGAAACGGCGCCTATACAGAATAAAGAAGTTGTGTATCCATAAAAATTGTCCTCATTCTTCATCTCCTCAACTTCTGTAATGCCAATCTAAGAAGGCAGAAATAGTATTTGATATTGTAAAAAATCAATACTTTAACTCTTCTTAATAGCATGTTTGCATTTGCAGAATGAATTACTGATATCGTGTTTGACATTGTAGCATGCAGTACCAAAACTCCTGTTTATGCATCATGTTTGACACTACAGAATGGAGAACCTCGGCTGATGATTATCTCGCGTACGATATTGTAGAATACGGTATTTTAGTTGATAATAGTAATGTTGTAAAATACAGTAAATTGGTTGTGTTTGAATACTGAATATTGTAGAACACAATTTCCCGTCCAGTGCTGATATCATGTTTGGCATTGTAGAATGGAGCACTTTGCCTCATGTTGATATCGTGTTTGACATTGTAGAATGTAGTACCTCGGCTCGTGCTGATATCATGTTTGACTTTGTAGAATCGAGTACTTTGGCTCATGCTGATATCATTTTTGGCATTGTAGAATGGAGTTCTTTGACTCATGTTGATATCGTTTTTGACATTGTAGAATGTAGTACCTCGGCTCATGTTGATATCATGCTTGACATTGTAGAATGTAGTGCCTCGGCTCATGTTCATTTCGTAGTGCCTCGGCTGTGTTTGACATTGTAGAATAGTAGTCATGTTGATATCATGCTTGACATTGACATTGTAGAATGTTTGACATTGTAGAATGGAGTACTTTGGCTCATGTTGATATCATGTTTGACATTGTAGAATGTAGTGCCTCGGCTCATGTTGATATCATGCTTGACATTGTAGAATGTAGTACCTCGGCTCATGTTCATTTCGTCTTTGACATTGTAGAATGGAGTACTTTGGCTCATGTTGATATCGTGTTTGACATTATAGAATGCAGTACCTCAGCTCGAGCCGATATCGTGTTCCTTCTGGACACGTCCGGGAGTGTGGGACCAACGGATTTTGCCTTGGAAGTGTCCTTTGTGTCCGACTTCGTCCAAGGTTTTTCTGTGGGTCCCTCCGCAGTGCAGTTTAGTGTGGTCCTCTTCTCCTCAAGTGTCTTAAATCAATTCAGCCTTCATCGATACGACAACCGTGCTGATCTTGTTCAGGTACAGTTATACACATCGGGACGGTGGGGTAGCCTATTGGTTAAAGCGGTCGCTCGACATGCCAAAGACCCGGCTTCGATTTCACATATGGGTAATTATAAAATGTGTGAAGTCCATTTCTGGTGTCCCCAAAAATAAAGTCACTCACGCATGCTGGTGCGCTTAACCCGGATGTATTCATACATCTTTCTTTCTTATTATAGACCTCCATCACTGCAGTGCTTGTTAGAAGAGTCAACGAAATATGATTGGGTCGTTTAGAAATGTTAGTTCATTGCACATTTTTGAACCATGATTTTGTGATTTGTTCGATCATTGACTCAACTGTTAACTCACTCACTGATAAGTGAGTCAATTACACTGTACGATTATTAAACGAAGTCAAATTATGAGTTTAAAAGATATGTTAAACAGACCATGACAATTTATTAAAGGGCCCAAGGCGACGACAGGACAAAACAACAAAATCATCAAATAAACATTAAAGATATGCAGGGCTAAATTCTAAACTGATAACGTTTATGCCTGATACATCCCGTGAGTAACTGGGTTAGAATTGGTCTTCAACAACCCATGCTCGTCGTTAGAGCGGGATCGGGTGGTCAGGTACAGAGTCGTGCAAAAAGTATTCGGACACTTGACGTAATTTCCATAGACTTGCATGCTAATTTAGTGTGGCATAAATATTTTTCGTGAATTTAATTTTTAAAATCCAAGTCAAATGTGCACATTTGTGAGGAATCATCTTAATAATAATAATAATAATAATGCATTTGTTTAAGTACCTAATGTCCAACCAGTGCTGCTCAGTGGCGCTGTGCAGAGAAAGTGGAAAACTAGTAGGTAGCTAGAAAGAGATGAGTTTTTAGTTGGCTCCTAAATGTTTCCAGGGAAGATACTGATCTCAGTTCAACTGGCAGAGTTCCACAAAGCTGGTGCTGCAGCACTGAAAGCTCTGTCTCCCATGGATGTTTTTGTTGCTGGCATTTTCAGGCTGACTCTTTTTTCTGACCTCAAGACACGAGCTGGATGATAAATTTCTATGATGTCTTTGAGGTAAGCTGGTGAATTGATGTCGTAGAGGGTTGAGTAGGTGATGCAAATTATTTTGTACTGTATTCTCCTTACCTACAATCACATAATTTTTGTTTGATTTTCCGTTGCTTATTTATCGAATGGCAACAATTTAATCAACACATGTACGTACAGTGCCGTGAACTCCTTTAACATGGCGGCCTATGGGATTGTGCATTGTGGAACTGTACGTAAGTTGATAAATGTGATGTCATTAGTTAAATAGTGGTCGGAAAAGTTTACTGAAATTATGTGCCCAGAGCAGAGATGATTTCAATTTGCCTGTCAGATTTTACAAAGATCCACCTCAAACTCACTTCATAAATTTATTTATGCTACACTGAAATAACATGTAAGTCTATGGAAATTACGTGAAGTGTCCGAATACATTTTGCACGGGTCTGTACATGCACTTTAGTTGGATAGATTGATGCTCGTGATGACAATTACACGCTCGTTTGGTTTAGGCATCTAGTATTTTAAGAATTAGTAATGCATATATACTAGGCACATAAAGAAACTGTGCATACAAAAATTTAAATCTAAATTTATCAAACCTGTGTAGACACATAAGGATTTAAACTCAGAGATTAGTGACATGTATCCAACATGCATGCACGTGCCACGTTCCGTGACGTCAGTGGGTTCGTCCTTATGACGTGCAATACGTTGTTGCACGTGCATTCCGGGAAAGAGAAACAGAGCAAATGAATGCCACACAATACTGTCACTTTGGAAAGCTCAACCCCTGCCCTTGCGATCGTTCAAAAAATTAAACGGCTATTGAAACGCATAGCATGCCAAGGCTCACGTCTGCACAACGTCATGAGGCCATTGGGATGGTCCGTGGGGGAATGTCTCAACGACAAGTGGCTGCACATTTCCACTGCCACCGGAACACCATTTCTGCACTGGTGAGACGCTACCAGAACACAAATGACGTCATCGATCGGCCACGTTCTGGACGTCCACGTGTAACAACGCCAAGACAGGACAGATGGATAAGGGTGACCCATCTTCGCCACAGGTTTCAGACTGCAGTGATGACTGCCCGAACCATCCCAGGACTTCGCCGTATCCACCCCAACACAGTTCGACAACGTTTACGTCATCACGGGATCAGACCACGACGTCCCGCCATACGGCCTATCCTGACACAACGTCATCGACAAGCTCGCCGAATGTGGTGCCGAAATCATGTCCGCAGACCCTTGTTTTGGTGGAGAAATGTTGTTTTTACAGATGAGTCCAGGTTTAACATTTCCCATAGTGATGACGTCAACGTGCCTATAGACGCGTGGGAGAACGTTATGCACAGGCCTGTGTCTTGGAGAGGAATCGCTTTGGTGGTGGTTCCGTGATGATTTGGGGTGGAATAACAGCACGCCAAAGAACTCCTTTGGTGATTGTTCAGGGCAACTTAACTGGTGTGGGCTACAGGGATCAGATTCTTCGACCTGTGGCAATTCCTTTTCTGCAACGTCATGGCCCTGGGTTAGCATTCCAACAGGACAATGCCCGCCCTCATACGGCAAGGGTTGCTATGGATTTCTTGCAACACCACAACGTTGACTTACTGCCTTGGCCTGCAAATTCACCGGATCTCTCCCCGATAGAGCATGTTTGGGATGAGATGGATCGACGTCTACGCCGTCTTCCTCATCCGCCAGATAACGTCCTTGACCTTGCAACAGAACTTGAGAGAATCTGGCGTGACATCCCACAAGCCTTCCTTGCACGTTTGATAGGCTCTATGCGTCGTCGATGCACTGCTGTTCTCAATGCCGATGGTGGACATACCTGTTCCTGAGCTTGTGACATGGTCGTTTGACCCCTGTCCCGCTTGTGGACTCGTGACGTCATTGTGATTGACTTTTCAATTGAAATTCTCCCGACTTGTTATGGTCTCATGATCCCTCCATTAAAGTTTATATGTACCTTTGACATTGTTATCGTACTTATCAACTGGGATCATATTTTACAATGCACAGTTTCTTTATGTGGCTAGTATAGATATGTTGCCTTTAATAGTCACTCACTAACCCCTAAAATGCCAGTCAAACAGTTCACCATTATACAACTGGAGTATGGCTGGGTGTGGTGCTGTCTAAGTAAACTTAGGCTCAGTATTATTCGTTACACTGCTATACTGAGTCTAACAAAACCTTGTGGAAGGTCGCGTCAGCTAACCTTTTCAATGGACCAATCAGAACACAGCTTACCAATCGCAAAAGCTGACATTCGCACATACCTTTTGAATTTTTATCTCGAAATCGTTTTGTACCCTAACGATTCCGAATGCTATTTTCCGTACGATCGCTTCCGAGTGATGCACATGGAGCACGCCACAACCGTGAGTAAACAGTCGCTGAAAATAGCGTTTTGTCAGTATTCAAGGATGTCAGCTTGCGAAAATATTTTCTAATGATAACCATGTCAACAGAAACCCAAAAGCGTATATTCTGCAGGTCATATATCTGTGTTTTATGCGGGTTTTCATTTGTTGTGAGATCAGTGTTGGCGACCGGGGAAGAGTAAATCCATTTTGTAAGTCCCGCCGAACCCTAAATAGTAGCCGTTGTCTGATTGGTTAAATCTGTTCTGTCGTCTCGCGTTTGACTGGACGGTCATAGGTCGCTCAAAGGTTACCTGACGCGACCTTCCGCAAGGTTTTGTTAGACTCAGTATAACAGTGTAACGAATAATTCTGAGGCTTAGTTTTACTTAGACTGGGGTGTTGCGTTAAACAATAAATGACTGTTACCAACAGATGAAAAACTTGACGGCCATTTGTTGACGAGCAAAACTGCAAGAGCTCGTCCAGGCGTAGTCACTCAAGGCTATCATTATTTAACACGTCACAATTAAATTCTGGACACTTAAAGTCCAGAAACTCTCAGCAAAGGATTTGAAAAAAATAAACGTCATGCAGTTGTCATGAATATATGATAATAATGAAAAAACTGTTTTCTTTTTCGAAAACTCAAAATATTAACTCGCTCGAATTCATGTTTGTGAGGTTGTAAGTTAATGAATGTATCATGAGAAAATTATCATGAAAAAACATTAAATACTTTGGACTTAATTTGACTAATGTAGAGGGTTATTAATATGCTCAAAATGCATGTTTTATTTAATATTTCAGAGGTTGTAATTGAATGTAGGTATAGGCGAAAAAGAATTTGGCCCATGGACGAGAATATTTACTTTTGCTCTAAAAGATGTTTTTTTAATGTTTTGGAGGTTGTAAATGAATGAAAGTATGTTTATAAGTATACTGACAAACACATTAAATCATTTGGACTTAATTCGACAAATTTAGAGAATTATTAAAATTCTCGCCCATGGGTGAAAAACAATTTGGCCCATGGACGAGAATATTTACTTTTGCTCTAAAAGATGTTTTTTTAATGTTTTGGAGGTTGTAAATGAATGAAAGTATGTTTGTAAGTATCATGACAAAAAATTAAATCATTTAGACTTAATTCGACTAATTTAGAGCTCCATTAATAATGCTCAAAATACATGATTTTTATATATATTTAAGAGGTTGTAATTGAATGAAAGTATGTTAATAAGTTAATAATTGGCATAAAAAGGAAAACGGTTTCGTGTGAGATCATACTGATTTTAGGAAATTAAGTGAGAGTTCATTGAAAATGACCATTACAGGTAATACATATTCAGTTTATCTGTTGTTTTGAAGGCAATTCAGTCTGTGAGATACCGCGGCGGTGGAACGAACACAGCAAGTGCGCTCACCTTCGTCCGAGAAAACAGCTTTCTACCCATTAATGGAGGTCGCACCGGAGCTACCCAAGTCCTCATCGTCATCACAGACGGTCAGTCCGCGAACAGGGCTAACACAGCCTCTGAAGCAAATCTGTTGCACCAAGATGGCATCAAGGTCATTTCTATTGGCGTTGGAAGCGGTGTTAACATGGAGGAACTCCGAGCAATAGCATCAAACAACAGCTTGGTATTCACAGCTGCTAACTTCAGTGCTTTGGGAATTGTCAAAGACGAAATCCAGAACACAACGTGTAAGTTAAAAATCCCCTTCTCATATAGACATCCCGGGTATTGTACTGGACATCTGGACACCTCACCCAGAGATATACTGGATGTGCACATGGATGTGGGGAGTGCGTGTGTGTGCTTGTGTGTCCTGGGGAGGAGTTAGTTCGAGGTCGCTGATTCCTACTGTTTGTGGCAGAGGTTTTGGATGTAGTCTCTGGGTGAATGTCTGCAGACTTTTCACTGGCTAGGGAAAGTTGTTTTTCCATAACCAATGCTTGTCGTAAGAAACGACTAAAGGGATCGGGTGGTCAGTCTCGCTGACTTAGTTGAAACGTGTCATCGTATCCCAATTGAGTAGATAGATGCTCATGCTGTTGATCACTGGATTGTCTAGTCCAGATTGCCGCTATTATAGCTGGAATATTGCTGAGTGGGGCGTTTAACAGCAAACAATCTGTCAAAGTAATGGTTTTAACCCGTATTGCATCTCATCGAAACCACTCCGAGATTTTCTTGTTTACTCAGTGAAAGACAGAGATGTCATATCGTAACATGAAAAAGCGATTGTACAACTCTCGATGTATCATTGAGCCAGTTTGGTCATTTGTGTCTACATATTTTGAATCCATGGTTGCTATTATTCATTCCATGTGTACCGTTATGTCTTTTTGTTCCAGGTAAGGAAATCGGAGTAGATGGTAAGTCAGTTTTTGTTTTATTCAGGGCCAGTATTTATTCATGAATTCAGATTGAAGTTTGTTGAAGTTTCATAGCGCGACTTATATTTCGATGTCACTGTTGATAGTTTTGTTCCCCCAGAGCCATGTGGTGAAGGTGGTAAGTCAGTTTATCTTTTGTTCAAGGTCAGTTTATGTTCATCAATTCAGATTGAGTGACTGAGTGAGTTTGGTTTTGCGTCTCTGGACCAGACAATCCAGTGTTGAACAGTATGATCAGGAGACTTGTTGAAGTTTCAAAGCAGACTCTGTTTTCGTTGCTACTATTGATATTTCTTTCCCCAGAGCCATGTGGTGAAGCTGCACTGCCAACAGTAACTGCCCGAATGCTGAATGCCCCCATTGCTGGGTTGTGTGAGTGGCCCTGGATGGTGTCTGTACGGCTAGGGCCTGGGAACATCCCTGCTCACAGGTGTACAGGGGTTCTGATCGGGAAGAGGAAGGTGATCACAACCGCCTCTTGTGCGTCAAGGTACAGGCACAAAAACAGAAATCACGCAATTCAATGTCTGATCACATTACAATCGTTTGGGTAAAAGCATTGCCTTTACTAACATAATGTAAATAGAGGATGTTGAATTTTAATGCTATCGACTGACATTAGACAGTTGTCATTTTCACGCTGCCACTCGCACGCAAATATCAACGTTCCCAATTAAGTCAGTCGATGAGATGATGTTTGACGTGAAAACACATGTTCTCCTTGTCATGTGTTTTCTCACACGAGTGTCACTGATGACAAAGTGTTATTTCACCCAAGTAACACTGTGACAAAACTTGCATTACGTCACAAAATGGAGAATCAAATGTCAATGATTGGTATGTAATATTAATCCAAAACATTAATTTTTGGAATAACTTACGACTGCACACTTGTCGATTATTCGTCGTTTTTACGAATGCTGTTAGCATCCATTTGGTTCAATATCAACAAATTAATAAGAAACCACATCGAAACAGAATTGGTCATGTCAGGCAATTGACAGTGTTGGGAAACTTATCTCATTCCCAGGTACACCCCACACAGTGTTATTGTTGGAGAGAACAACCTGCTGTTGGAGAATGAAGCCTTGAATGCAGACAACTTTGAAGTTGTTGTTAAGATCAACAAAACTGTCATCCATCCACAGCATGCAGGCAATGGTAATACAAGATCACTTACTAGTCTCCATTGACTATATAGCTCATTACCTTATGGGTATCGTGGTTCCTAGTGTTTATAGCTAATTATCGTGGTTCCTATGTTTATAGCTCATTACCTTATAGGTATCGTGGTTCTTCGTGTTTATAGCTCATTATCTTATGGGTATCGTGATACTTTGTGTTTATAGCTTATTATCTTATGGGTATCAAGGTTCCTCGTGTTTATAGCTTATTATCTTATGGGTGTCGTGGTTCCTGATGTTTATAGCTCATTATCTTATGGGTATCGAGGTCTCCTGTGATTATAGCGCATTATCTTATGGATGTCGTGTTTCCTCGTTTTTATAGCTTATTATCTTATGGGTATCGTGGTGCCTCATGTTTATATCTCATTATCATATGGGTATCGAGGTTCCTCATGTTTATAGCTTATTATCTTATGGGTGTCGTGGTTCCTGATGTTTATAGCTAATTATCTTATGGGTATCGTGATTCTTTGTGTTTATAGCCCATTATCTTATGGGTATCGAGGTCTCCTGTGTTTATAGCTCATTATCTTATTGGTATCATGGTACCTTGTGTTTTTAGCTCATTATCTGATGGGTATCGTGACTCTTTGTGTATATAGCTAATTATCGTATGGGTATCGAGGTCTTCTGTGTTTATAGCTTATGATCTTATGGGTATCGAGGTTCCTCGTGTTTATAGCTCATTATCTTATGGGTATCGTGGTTCCTGATGTTTATAGCTCATTATCATATGGGTATCGTGATTTTTGTGTTTATAGCTAATTATCTTATGGGTATCGAGGTCTCTTGCGTTTATAGCTCATTATCGTATGGATATCGTGGTTCCTGGCATTTATAGCTCATTACCTTGTGGGTGTCGAGGTCCCTTGCATTTGTAGCTGATTAGCGTATGGGTATCGGTGTTCCCTGTGTCGATATCTCATTATCGTATGGGTATCGAGGTCCCTTGCGTCCATATCTCATTATCCTATGGGTACATATGTTCCTTGTGTTATAGCTCATTACCTCATCCTGATATTAATGTGTCAGCCACGAGATACTGTTCAAAGAGCAGTTCGACATACCACAGTCACTTAACAAACCTTTCCATTGTTGTAGGTTACGACATTGCTGTTCTTCATCTTGAGGAAGACGTTGTCTTCAACAGATGTGTCCTCCCCGCCTGTCTTCCTGGACCACGTGACAGCTCATGTGGAGACTCCACCTTGGGGACATGTTCCTTTGCTGGTTGGGGAATCTACAGCGGTGCGTCAACTTTTTTCACCAGCTAAAAATATGGATATTTTTCTACTCTTGTTTAACGCCAGGGACAGACGTATGCCAGTAAATATTTAAGTTAATGTCTACCTGTAAATGATAGAATCTGGAATAAGCAGATATTACAGTCCTTGACCTTGGGTTACAATGACGCGCTATCAACCAACTCAAGCCTGGACACAGTTTTAAAGCCGCCACTTAAAGTACATATTAATGATGATCAGATCTAACTAGGTGAGTGAGTGAATGAGATTAGTTTTACGCCGCACTCAGCAATATTCCAGCTATATGGCGGCGGTCTGTAAATAATCGAGTCTGGACCAGACAATCCAGTGATCAACAGCATGAGCATCGATCTGCGCAATTGGAAACCGATGACATGTGTTAACCAAGCCAGCGAGCCTGACCACCCGATCCCGTTAGTCGCCTCTTACGACAAGCATGGGTTACTGAAGGCTCATTCTAACCCGGACCTTCACGGGTCGATCTGACTAGGAATCCCATGGACCAGTCAGATTGATGCGTGGATATTTGAAATGTTATTCCAGGAACAGGTTGCGTTACACAAGCATATACTTCCTTAAAAATGCCATTCACATTCTAACGTTCCACGTGTGAAGTTACAACTGATATTCTGCTTGTCGAGTGGTGTGACTCGGTGACTGTTGCAACATGTCACTGCATCACAACGACGTTGATCGATGCTTATGATATCAATCACTGGAATGTCCTATCCAGACCGCCGCCATATAGCAGGAATATTTCTGAGTGTGGCGTTAAACAACGAGCAAACATTTCTATTGACGTATCTTAGATCCCTGTTCTCGTATCAATTCTATGTATTGTATGCTGATTTCAGATGTGACATTGTCTCTCTCCCGCCGACTGCGAGAGACCAGGGGAAAGTATCTAAACCCTACGGTTTGTGACGCCGTCTACTCACAGACAAGAGGGCGCAGCCCGCCTGGAAACACTGTCTGCCTAGTGCCACATGACCCCTCACAAGCGCCGTGTCAGGTATGACTTGCCAAGCGGAATTATTGTCCGTCAATTCATCGTACTTACCTGCTGGATTATCACTTTCATTCATAGCACTAAATAACCTTTTACCTGGAACCAATTAGTACTTGAGCAATATAAGCTTGTCCAAAGTTTCAACTTACACTAAGTTTATGGATCTAGGCTCACGTCACTTGATTGTCTGATCCAGACTCGATAGTTGACAGTCTAACAGAGGGGTCTGTTGTGATTTGAAACCTCTAGTGATTGGTGATAGTCGTGTATGTTCCAAGCGCATGCTGTATAAAGAACATCGTATATTTAGTAATTACAGGATGGCTATTTCACTTTGAAGACCTTACTTTTCAGGGCGACGAAGGGGGCATGGTCAGATGTCTGGTACAAGACAAATGGATTTTTCAGTCCCTCATTAACTACCCCAGCTGCACCGACAGTTTCCCCTCCCTCGGTGTCGACCTGAGAGACCCAGACATCCTCAACTTTATCAGAAGTAACTGATCAAGCCAACCTGCTTTCCCTGCATTTCATGAAATAAACAGATTCGCTACATAGTTCCGCCTTGTTTATTGCATTCATTGAGATATGTGTTTGTTTGTTTACTTGTTTCATGCAACACTTAGTAATACATCGGATCTATCACGGTTGTCTTTCATGCATGGAGTGTGGACCAGACAATCTAGTGACTGATACATGAGCATCGACCTACGCTACTGAGATACCATGACAACAATCAACCAAGGCAGCAAGCCTGACCCCCTGATCCCAACAAACAGGGTTTTCTGCAAAGTTTAATGCTACAACAGCTTAATGCTTCGCAGTCAGGTAAACATATTTAGAATGCCGTTTAGTTTTCAGTACGTGACATGCTTGTTTTAAGACCAGCGATTTTTTTGCATCGCCAAAAATGTATCCAGTTGTTTCAGTGACAATCATCAGAACATGTCTCCAGTTGTTTCAATGACGATTCATCAGAGCATGTCTTCAGTTGTTTCAGTGACAATGTGGAATGATGCATGTTCAATAATATAAGGTTTTACTGATGGGAGAGGCAACATGACAATACAAAGTCGCCTATTTATATAAATTTCTCTTGAAATGAAACGGTCATTACTAAGAATCAGTTGTTTTTGACATTGTAAATTCCCTCCACGCTAGCAAGTATATCCTCCCAAGTGGTCAGGTCACCACACTTCGAACCCAATCATCAGGATAGTGACAATCATCACATTGCAGAGAAAATCATCACAGCATGTCTTCAGTGACAACCATCAGAACATGTCTTCAGTTGTTTCAGTGACAAACATCAGAACATGTCTTCAGTTGTTTCAGTGACAAACATCAGAACATGTCTTCAGTTGTTTCAGTGACAACCATCAGAACATGTCTTCAGTTGTTTCAGCGACAAACATCAGAACATGTCTTCAGTTGTTTCAGTGACAACCATCAGAACATGTCTTCAGTTGTTTCAGTGACAACCATCAGAACACGTCTTCAGTTGTTTCAGTGACAAACATCAGAACACGTCTTCAGTTGTTTCAGTGACAACCATCAGAACACATCTTCAGTTGTTTCAGTGACAAACATCAGAACATGTCTTCAGTTGTTTCAGTGACAACCATCAGAACACGTCTTCAGTTGTTTCAGTGACAAACATCAGAACACGTCTTCAGTTGTTTCAGTGACAACCATCCGAACACGTATTCAGTTGGTTCAGTGACAAACATCAGAACATGTCTTCAGTTGTTTCAGTGACAAACATCAGAACACGTCTTCAGTTGTTTCAGTGACAAACATCAGAACATGTCTTCAGTTGTTTCAGTGACAACCATCAGAACACGTCTGCAGTTGTTTCAGTGACAAACATCAGAACACGTCTTCAGTTGTTTCAGTGACAATCATCAGAACACGTCTTCAGTTGTTTCAGTGACAACCATCAGAACACGTCTTCAGTTGTTTCAGTGACAACCATCAGAACACGTCTTCAGTTGTTTCAGTGACAATCAACAGAACACGTCTTCAGTTGTTTCAGTAACAACCATCAGAATACGTTTTCGGTTGTTTCAGTGACAACCATCAGAAAACGTCTTCAGTTGTTTCAGTGACAACCATCACAGCACTTTTTCAGTTGTTTCAGTGACAATCAACAGAACACGTTTTCAGTTGTTTCAGTGACAATCATCACAGCATTTTTTCAGTTGTTTCAGTGACAATCATATGTGGAATGATGCATGTTCAATAATATAAGGTTATACTGATGGGAGAGACAACTTGACAATGAATAGTCGTCTATTTATATAAATTACTCTTGAAATGAAACGGTCATTACTAAGAATCAGTTGTTTTTGACATTGTAAATTCCCTCTACGCTAGCAAGTATATCCTCCCATGAGGTCAGGTCTCTCCTCTTTGAACCCACACCATGGTGTCCATTCCCTCTGTGTGACATACAACCTCCTGACGATACCTCCCGCCCTGCCGTCACACTACACGTACATACAGCTACAGTGTCACGGCCGTACATTAAGTCTTGTGAGGAGGACGTCTTAGAAACATGACGCTAATATTGTACAACACTTCCTTCAGTAAACAACCTTTCTGTCTGACCCATGAACAATGTAAATATACCTATACACACTTTAGGTTCTTACTGCATCAATGTAACTCTGTCATCTTTCATCCTATATTCTTTGTCAGTGGCTGTGATGATTGTGTACTCAGCTTGACTTCAGATTAAGATGTTTCACGTTGATCAGTGGCGGTCAAATAGCCAGTTTCCTTTTATCGTCCTTACCATCCCATAAACCTTGGAAACTGCTTCGTCACTGTCATATTCATGTCTATATTTAAAGATGTATCGTGACAAGACGGTAGGACTTGAGGGATGACTTAAGCTTTCCCTTTATTTCGATATGTGTTGTGACGTTTGAGGCACAATCTTTATACGAAGAATTAAGAAGAGGATGACAACATAGTATTTCTTGTGTGTTTTTAATAATTGCACAGTGTATTTCACCATATCTCCCAAAATTCAGGGGAGGGGGGGTTGGAGGGAGGGAGGGAGATGTCCAAATTCAATACAACAACGAATATTATGCAATATACTGATTTGGTGCTTATCACGTTTCATCTGAACCAACCAACTCATAGAGTTTATGTGTCAGTTAATGAGCACAGGTTATTATTAACATTCATGTTCAAAGTCCACCGAGTGACTGAGCTAAAGTGGACGTAGCTATTTTGTTCAACAATAGTCGATGACAAGGATCGTAAAATGAATAGTGGCATTTATGCTAAAGACCATATTCTATGTTTCTATTTAACATAACGTTTACAGAAACAATAAGTTATCAAACACTATAAGGCGAAAACTATCGGTATAAACCTAGAAAAAAGCCAAATATTCACTTCAGCGAGTGGTAATTCTTTTGGACTATTCGATTAACAGTGGAAGGGAGATAACCCATTTATAACATTATGTCAGATCAGGCAAACAAGGTTTCATTACATGTTGAATTCAGGGATATTGTAAAGGTTAATGATTTATTTGGAACAAGTCTCATAACCTGCGTTCTGCAGTTCTCACAGTTCACTGCCATACGTACGTGTTCTTCTTCCCTCATTACCAGAAATGTTCAACTCGAAACAACACATATTTCTACTATTAAGGATATTTCTACAATTGAAAGGATAAACAGTTTTCAACTATTCCCTAAAATTGATAGAGGTCATCATCCACTACCCTTAATTAATGCATTATGATATTTTTTTCGTTGAGTGATCGCTATAGTTAATGAAAATAGTACAACAAGTCAAAAACACGTTCTTACATTTGGCTTAATTACTCACTGACACTATTTAATGCTGAGAGCAAAGAATGTAATAGATCAAATAAAAATGTTTAATTAGCTTTTCAGCAGAATGACTGTGACTGAAGACATGAAAGAGAATTTGCGAGCTCACTGCAAATCAGTCTATCACTATATTTGCCTTTGCTCCAGAACACAATTTTATTTCCATGCCAGGTATCATGGTCATTGGTCATGTTAATCTAAAGTCGTTACCGGAACCTTGTTCCCTTTGCCATGCTAAGAAGTTAACGTGAAATATGTGAGAGAGTGAGTGAGTTTAATTTTACGCCGCACTCAGCAGTATTCCAGCTATATGGCGGCGGTCTGTAAATAATCGAGTCTGGACCAGACAATCCAGTGATCAACAGCATGAGCATCGATCTGCGCAATTGGGAACCGATGACCTATGTCAGCCAAGTCAGCGAGCCTGACCACCCGATCCCGTTAGTCGCCTCTTACGACAAGCATGGGTTACTGAAGGTTCATTCTAACCCGGACCTTCACGGGTCTGAAATAGGTATGTTACCCTACGTTGTTGCAGAAGGTGTTTCAGGAACTGCTAATCACATTGTGTGTTGTACTTACAACTGTCTTTTTTAATATATTTGTATTGGGAGGGCCGTAAACAATATTGTCAAACAAGATTTTGTTTCATTTATAGTCCCAATATAAACGACAAAACTATTTCAATAATACTATAAAGAAATATCCGCTTATGACAAGTTTGAAGTTCATTGTTCATATCAAACTGTATCGGTAGACGTCGTAGTTGTAATTGTAGCTGTAGTAGTAGTAGTAGTAGTAGCAGTAGTAGTAGTAGTAGTAGTAGTAGTAGTAGTAGTAGTAGTAGTAGTAGTAGTAGTAGTAGTGTTTGCATAGTCTTTCCTCTGCCGTTAATGATTATGTAAGGGACTTTACATATCGAATGGAGAAAATGAAGGATACTTCAATTTTGGTCCATGTGTGTCTTTAGTATACAACTATTGTTTAGATGGCTACAGTAATTTGAATAACATCCTTGTGGTGCAGTATCTATGACTTTGTGAGTATTTACCAACTTGGCGTCATGTGATAAACAAGCTAAACTCTTTATATACAACTTAATTTGAAACAAAAAAAAGCTTCCCTTGAGCATCAGCTGTACACCCTTTCTTGCTTATCTCTGTCTTTGTGCATATGAACAGGAATTTCCGCTCAGACTGGCGAATCAAAACAAGTCAATTTGCCTAAGAAGTTTCACTTTATCTGCAGGTGTATGGGCCATCTGACATCGCACCTGCAGTGACTTAAGCGCTGATAGGTGTAGGCGCCTTGTACCAGAAACCCCAGTCTACATATGTATTCATCAATTTGAGGATACAGCTCTTTATTCTTTACCTGCCACAAGCACGACAATATCAGAACGACTTCGTATTTAAATATACATTGGTATGACCTGAAATCAATACTTCATGTCCATAGCTCAGTCAGCAGTTCTACAAACATGGACTTTCTTCAATGAGGATTTGAGCCATTTTAAATTAATGTAGAAATGATACCTGCATGGTCTCAGCTAATCGTCAACACCTTCATAGGAGACATGTAAAGGACGTTTCCAATTGGACACATCAGTGACAGAATGCCGTGGCATGTGTTTCTGACGGGTGCCATTGACGGGTCAGGAAATGCTCACATTTATACAAGCACCAGGATCATATTTGATAGGACGTCATGGACATAAACTTATAATACAGTCGGAATATTACATTGGAATCTGTCTTTAGTAGACATTTCTTATGATTATGGAAATGTATTTTATTCACTATAGTCAATATAAGGATTTCCTTTTCTCAAGTAATGGTTCACAACTCTTGAAAGGACTAATTCTTTAAAATATTTAGGAAAAATGCTTGGCAATCAGCTCATGGATTTCCTTTATTATGTTAAATTTCGTGTGTCTTTGTGCACAAATATCGTTACAATGTATAAGGAAGTTTAACCAGGACAAGAATTCCCCAAAACTAATTGAAATCTCTCCACGTATCCTCAAGAAAATGTTCTATTTGAGGACCGTTGTTTCGAAGCATTCACCACCCGAATTTCTATTTGCTGAAACTCTATGGGCATAGCCAAAGTGGAATGAATGACAGCTCTTAAAATAAAACTATTGCTCCCAATCTAAGGATGTCATCATATGTTTTCCTTTAAGGTGTATAAGAGGTAGGAGAACTGAGCAATGTCAACACGAATACATTTAGAGGTTGTTTAAATAGGCTCTAACCATTCATGTACACATGGAACTCTGAAACTAAACACTCCACAGAGTAGATAGAACAGCTTTGAATTCTTAAGTATTATATTTGGTTTTATATTGACGCTTCTTCTGATGTTTTGATCACAACGACTTCTTTGTCCGAATAATGTCATTATTTTAGTATGATAACTGTTTTTATTTTGAATAATTATCTGATCATCATAATTAATATTTACTCATGCCAATAATGGTTGTCACCCCCCTCTCCACCCCAACCCCAAATACACCTCACACCCCAACCCCACACCCCCTCTCCAATTAAAAAAATTGAAGGGGTTGACAACCATTATTGGCATGAGTAATATGCGATGCCAAAACATGTACTTTTTAATATAATAAATATTGTTTAATATGTTTATTATATATTTTTAAAAATCGAAGATAATGTAAATAAATTATTAATTATTTTTTAAGAACAGTGTTTCTTCGAACAATTTAAAGTCGCAACGTATTGAATGACGGACGTTACAGATGAAAAAGCTTCATACCACACAGACCGTTTTAATAAGCTCAAATTGCATATGACCAAACATCTTATTCCTTCAACAGGAGTGTCCGTTAGTAAACCACAGTATATTTAGTTACGCAAGAGATGAGGCTACAACTGCATCTTTGCAAAGGTTGACTGTTTACTCGTTAGGATGCATTCGTCTCCTGTGTTGACATTTCACCGATAGCTTCACCGGAAGGTCATCCCATTCGCCATTGGGAGGCATGTAAATAGTGCCTATTATACGCATTTAAATATTGACACAAGTGTCATAACGGGTGCTATTGCCTTCTTATTGCTGCATTTACTTGTGATAAAGATGTGTTTTGGTGCTTTGATCAGGGCAGTTGGTTATAACTATGTATGAGAACACTGGAGCGAGTCAGTGAAATGGGTCTGACGTCGAGTGAGTGAGTGAGTTGGGTTTTACGCAGCTTTTAGCAATATTGTAGCAATATCGGCAGGACACAAGAAATGAGATTTGCACATTTTACCCATGTGGGGACTCGAACCCGAACCTTAAGAGTTACGAGCGAACACCTTAACCACTAGGCCTCTCAACGCCGACGTCGCCTGAACAGTATTCCAGTATTATCAGGCGGACTCAGCTTCATGTGGAATGAAAGCTTGAAATGATGTGAGTCTTAGACATGTATCACCTTGGTGAAATATTCGAGGAACAATGTGGTGCCAACAAACCTAGACACCTAATCAGGGAAACCGGATTCAAACTCTAGATCATAGGTTTCTGGTATAGTCAAAGTCACGCAATTTTGCAAGACGAATTAGGCGCCTTGGGGAAACACGCTTGGTTCCCCACTTAGCATAGCAATGGCCTTTTAATATCGTGAATTATCTCAACATTTACAATTTACAGCAACTGCTATCTCGGTTATCTCTGAACTCAATTGTTTTTGCTGTTTAACGCCGCACTCAGCAATATTAAAGATTTATGTCAGCAGTCTGTAAATAATTAAGTCTGGACAAGACAATCCAGCAATCAGCATCATGAGCATTGATGTATGCAGTTGGGTCGTCCACCAAGTCAGCGAGCCTGACCACCCTATCCCGTTAGACGCCTCTTACGATTGGTCTTGCTGATGTGTCTACATATCGTATAACCATAACTTATATAGTTGTTATAATATATTTCAATATTAGCTGTTAAAACTATATTATGATTTCACAGATACTACATGTTCTGGCCAACACAACTTCCTTGACCTGTAAAATTACAGCTTTAAAGCTTTTTGACTTTAAACGGTTTCAATATGTATTCAGAATATTAATATATGCAAATTGTATTCATGCAAAGCATCTCGATGTTGTTTTGATTAAAAATCAGGCTTTGTTAAAAAGTTCTTAAGATGTACCCAACACCTGGTTAATTCATTCATTATCAGCGCAATCAAAGTCAAACAACAATTAGCGGTCCATCCTTCATCATTGCGAAGTCTGTTCACACCTAGATGAGGTTACGGTATCACACGAACGTAGCCAGGTGAATGTGTGTGAACAGCCTACAGACGAGAAGATTGGGCCATCACAGAGGAATGAAGTGTCACCGCGAACACGGGTTGCCTCCTGTTCAAACAAATGAACTAGGTTTGTTTAATTGTAAGGTGGGGTAGTGTGTACATCTTCCTGTGATCTTCACATTGAGTATCGGCCATCCTTCTCTGGTCTCACTCAGAGGCTGCACGACCGATCAACGTGAGATACTGAGAGGATCTACGTCATGAACGGCCTCATCTGCTTTGTCGCCGTCTGCATCGGCATTGCAAATGCTCAGTTACCAGGTTTGGAGTTCATTATTTGATATTTTGTTGCTTGTAAAATATTTCACAGGTTGTTTTGCAATATGAAAACAATACACATTGAATGGTCGGGAAAATATAGCTGTTCATCCTTGTCCAAAAACATTTTGTTTTGTTGATTTATCAAAACAAGCATTACAATATCGTCTCCATATAAGGCCCTTAAGTTTGGTTTTCTTTTGTGACTATCTCAAACGTCAGTCAAGCTAATTGAAGGACAATTTAGAATAATTATTTTACATGTTTTGTTGCACTTTTATTTAGTTCCAAAACAAATACAGATTGCTAACAATGAGTAAGAAGAAACTAATTATCTTTTAGTACATTTGATCAGCTGATCAGCACAAGGAGCGAAATGTTAATGTTATTGGTGCAAATAATATCTTCAATCCACTCTGTAACGTTGTGTTTATATAATGAAGAGTGTTTCGACCGTGCCATGTTTTAACCCATCTTCTAAATATCTATAAGGGCCGTAAAGCTTTCGTTGAGAATTTTGAATATCAAATTAATGTCAGAAACCGTGGCTTTTAATGTCAAATGGATGTCAGAAACCCTAGCTTTTAGTATCCAATTGATGTCAGAAACCCTGGCTGTTAATATTGAGTTGATGTCAGAAACCCTGGTTTTTAATCTAAAATACACATTTGTCTTCTACATATGATTTGAGCTTTAAATATTGCTATCAACTAAATAGACAATTTATGTAGAAAGATTTGTAAAAGTAGTTTTATGAGGATATATATTTGTTTATTTGTCCACGTCCACAGACCGTTGTGGTGAAGAGGCAGTGTCTGGGAGAATTTTGGGTGGTCAAAACGTTTTGAGGTGCACGTGGCCCTACACCCCTCTAGTCAGCATCAGGATCTACTACAACTCCAACTTTGGCAATGACTTCAACTTCGGCAACCTCACAATCTGTGGTGGAGCAATCATCAGTGATCAGCACATTCTTACTTCCGCTGTGTGTGCTGCTCCGTAAGTATAACAGTTCCAGGGTTGTAACAGTGAGCAAGTATTGATTTACGCCGCGATTGACAATATCCCACCAATATTAAGCCAAGAGACGCCAGAAACCGGCTTTATTAGTTGTATCCTATTGTGGAATCGATCCCGGACCTCAGACATAACGAGCAAGTTCTTTAACCGCGATGCTACCCAACGGCTCCAGCCTTGTAATAATTACACGTCCAATGTCTAGAGAAGTACAGACTATTTTATTGTTTTCATAAAATCACAAAAGATTACGGTCTGTGCCTTTTTTAGACTTCCACATTCCTTATTCTTGTAAACGAACACAGTTTTAAGTGCTGACAAAGCTAGGACATTGTCTAAGATAAATCGGGATTCGAACTCGCGCCACCAATACCACTGTCTTGTCTTCGTGAAGTAGAATTTGGAGTAGAATTAAATTAATTTTGATGGTATTCCTCAAGATGGTAGGAAAAGTATTCAAAATGTAATGAAAATGAATGATTACAACTGAAAGTAAACATTGTTCAAAAATCAAGTAAGCGGTTAGTGAAACTAGAAAATTACATTTTAAAGATAAATTCTTACTTATCAATTTGACGGAAAACGTCGTCAATGAGAAGGTTGTAACACTGTGTGCATGGAAACACTAGGAGTATTTCCTGACAACATTGAAAACTAACCATGCGTCAGATGCTTTCATAACTCAGATCTATACAAACATTCCGTTATACCGTTGTATTTACAAAGGGTGGTTGTTGGATGTGTATTATGATTCGTGTACTTTGAGCGATATTCAAGCAGATTACTCATCGTCAGGTTTGCATCAACAATAACTCTCATATTGACTCTTGAAAGTACATCTAATTAGTTACACTTTATATTATTCAGGTCCTAAAAGGTATATGTAGGTCATCAAAATGTATAGTTTTGTGACACATTCTACCCCTCTCCCTGCCCCACTCCCTTTCCCCGACCCTTTCTCTCTCTCCCCCCTCTCTTCCCCCTCTCTCCGTCTCTCTCCCTCCCCTAATCTCCCTCTCTCTCATTCTCTCCCCCTCCCCTCCCCTCCCCCCCCCCCCCTCTCTCTCTCTCTCTCTTTCTCTCTCTCTCTTTCTCTCTCATGCTTGTCGTAAGAGGACTAACGGGATCGGGTGGTCAGGCTCGCTGACTTGGTTGACACATGTCATCGTTTCCCAGTTGCGTAGATTGATGATCATGCTGTTGATCACAGGGTTGTCTGGTCCAGACGCGATTATTTACAGACCGCCGCCATATAGCTGGAATATTGCTGAGTGTGGCGTAAAACTAAACTCACTCACTCTCTCTGTCTCTCTCTCTCACACACATAGATACACTGAACACTATATACGTTCATAAGTAAGGTAAGATACTATATGGATGACAACTCCTTTATTATAACATACATTTTTGTGAAGTATAGATTGTAATGCCGTTGTCAAGCACTCTTGCTTGACAATGGTATGAGAATTAATACCAAAACGTTACATCATATAATAATATTATAGTAAAGGAGGTGTCACCCTTAGGGTAGCATAGTATTACATTCCTTATCACTGAACCTCCAAAATGTCTATCAAACAGATCACTATAAACTTTCTTAACTACAATTTGGAAGGACTAAATTTGGAGGTCATTGCGACTGACATGTTTTCCTAAGTATACTTCCGTAAAGTTAGTAAAGAAAAAATAGACAATCTTCGGTAATATATTTGTTTTCTTTACAGCTAAATAAACACTTAATAAGTGATCTGCAGTCTGAATTTATATAACGATCATGACAATGGTGAATTCTAATTGACAGATTGTACGGACTAAGTGCAGCCATAGTACGTCAGTCGACACGAGTTGTCGTTGGAGACTTCGACGCCAGACTCACAGACTTCGGTAATGACGGCCGCCCCGAAGATGTCATAGAACTGGAAGATGTGAAGATTCACCGAGACTATGACAACATCACCACAAGTTAGTATACATGCGTCATACAATAAGTTTAGTTGCTGTTTCCCTTAAATAGATGTTGGGGGATTTCTTTGTTGGCATTTCACAACGTTCGAGGTGCAATTCAACATGCTCTTTCTACCAAGATTTCCAAGAACAGGAACATAGCAGTCAAGGCTTTCGTACAGCTTTTTCTGAGACACAAGAAGTTTCAGAATTGGCGGCACTGGTGACGAAAATGATGCTCGATGTAGATATTTGATTTTAATTGTAACATCAGTTCCCGCGTGTTTTTTAAACAATTTGGTTCAGGTAAATATTCATTTTGTCTCTGTGCGTGTTTGTGACAAGTTTCACAACATTTTCGCAAAAACATAGTGTCGTCACTATTTGACAGTGCTAATGATTTTGTTGGTATCATACAAAGGATTTTTATATGATTTCATATTATAGAACGGGTTTTGTAGCTTTTGTCAATTCCGTTATCAGTTATGCTATCGGGTGGTCAGACTCGCTGACTCGCTGACACACATGCGTAGATCGATGCTCATGCTGTTGATCAGTGGATTGTCTGGTCCAGACATGATTATTTACAGACCGCAGCCATACAGCTGGAATAAAACTAAACTCACTCACTCACTCATTGGGTGTCAGCTAGATGTTGGAATGATGTCCTAATGATGCAGGATTTTGACGCTTGCAACTTTGCAGGAACCAAAGAGGTCAGGCATGGAGCTAACAGACCTTTCATGATGATTGGAACGGGTATCTGGGATACGAACCAACGACCAGAAAGTTTTGATAAGCGTAGACGCAATTCTTTGTTGGAACAACTGACATGAGGAAATGCTCTAATGACGATATTAACCTCTAATTTGAAAAGTGATGACTTATTATTGGATGTCCATGAATCATGTTCTTTGAGTATGCCTCATGATAAAACAATTCTTCTGGAAGATAAGTGTCATAGTCTCTATTCGTATATTGTTTCAGGCAACAACATTGCTATCTTCAAGCTGAGAACACGCATCCAGTACAACAACTGCAAACAGCCGGCTTGCCTGGAAGCTCAGCGCACCTCAGCTACAAGCACATGTGACATACCGGAAGTAGATGACACGTGCATCATGGCTTCAGTTGGACTTAAAAGTCGTAAGGATTAGTTTGCAATTGCAGCTAATTAATGTGATACTCAGTGACAGTTTACGGCATAGGCTTGCGCACAATTTCATTTTGTAGAGACCAGTGAAGATCCAGGTAAAAATTGGTCTTCAGCAACCCGTGGTTGTCGCAGGAGGCTACTAACGGGATCGGTTGGTCAGACTCGCTGACTTGGTTGACACATCTCACCATATCCCCTATTGCCTAGATCGATGCTCATGATGTTGATCACCAGATTGCCTGGTTCAGACTCGATTATTTACAGACCCATGAGTAAAAAAGATAACATAATCAATTTGTAGATCAATTCTATACTCCCCAAACTGGGTGATATTCGATATTAACAGATGATTACAGGAATATATAGAGGTATCGAGTTATGGTAAAAAAAAGGAAGGATTTGGTGTAATCTCTCTCTCTCTCTCTCTCTCTCTCTCTCTCTCTCTCTCTCTCTCTCTCTCTCTCTCTCTCTCTCTCTCTCTCTCTCTCTCTCTCTCTCTCTCTCTCTCTCTCTCTCTCTCTCTCTCTCTCTCTCTCTCTCTCTCTCTCTCTCTCTCTCTCTCTCTCTCTCTCTCTCTCTCTCTCTCACACGAACACTTTGCCGGAGTATTGCAAGGGCGCAGGCAAGGAAGAAACCAGGCAGGGTGTATGTGTATAATCCAAAAATAAATGTTTGAGATGACTCGGTCAAGACTTCGTCATGTCCTCACCATTAGTGAACCCTTCATTTATGCAACATGGCACGGTCTGCATTAGTGTCCCAGTGACAATTACGCTGAGAACCAAAACATAAAAATACTGAAAAAATGTTACAAAACAATATTGAATGACTTAAAATGCTTGGAGACTGTGTGAATAATTGAGAAAGAACGAGTACAGGCGCCTTGAGAACAGAACGAAATAGAGGCGGAGAAATCAAAGCATATACGTTAAGTCACAAGAGAGTCGAGCTCGACATTAATAGTAAAGTACTGCGCTACACTGTCACCCTAAGATTTTTCTAACATTAATGATGATAGGTAACGAAAATTACCACTCGATTCTAAATGATCATAGGTTTACGCCCCTATTAGCAATATTCCAGCAATATCACAATATTGAAATCAATAAGTTTTCTTATAAGATTTATATGTTTGTGAGTGAGTGAGTTTAGTTTTACGCCGCTTTTAGCAATATTCCAGCAATATCACTGCGGGGAACACCAGAAATTGGCTTCACACAAATTGTACCCATAGTGAGAATCGATCCCGGGTCTTTAGCGTGGCGAGCGGATGCTTTAACCATTAGGCTACCCCGTCGCCCCAAAACAACAGAGAGATAGATGACTTAATCACAGACTGTGTATCAAATGGCGTCTCGTTGGACAAGTGACATTACTCAAAACCTGTCACCAAGCAGTGATCATGAATAGGTACCCGTTTGGCTGACATGGTGATCCGACATTTTGGCTGTGATATGGCGCAGTTATGAATATACATTTATCATTTACCGTTATACACCAATTTCACTTGAATTGCAAATTCTTGTTACAGCCAACGATGCAGAAGCATCTAATATCCCCCAACAGGCTCCCATCAAGCTCCTCAGCAGACAGGTTACCGAAGCCATTGCAAGACAAGCTCCTAACAACCCTCTCCCAGCTGGCACCGTCATTGGCAGAACCGAGAGCCCGTCGGTCCAAGCCTGTCTGGTACGTTGAATTGATGTATTAATGTAATGTAATGAGGGAAGACATCTCAGTATTGAAGAATCACAGATTGTCTATATACACGCATACTGCTGATGGGATGCATTTATAGGAACACTTTTCAAAACCTACCTTTAGGGTTCATTATGCAAGCATACAGATGATGCACTTATGGAATATTTTAATGAAACACATCATGATATAGAGCAATCGCATTGTTGTACGGTTCAATATATCGGTATACCCTGGTTATAATGCCACCGTTTGTCCTGGAAAAATATGGCATTATATTCAGGGTGGCATTATAACCAGGTAAGACAGCTGGAAACCCTATGCAATTAACAAGGTGATTGAGCTGATGACTGACTGACTGAGTTTGGCTTTACGCCGCTTTTAGCAATATTCCAGCAACATCACGGCGGGGGACACCAGAAATGGGCTTCACACATTGTACCCATGTGGGGATTCGAGATTGAGCTGATGTCTCCTGTAATGAGCCTTTAATCACAACGCCTTGGGGCTGTAGGTGACTTGTTGTTGTAGGTGACAGGAAGTGAAATGTCACATGTGTTATCCTATCTGGGATTACAAGACTACTTAAAGCATTGATACACTACATGCAGTCAGTGTAAGTAATTGGCATTATAACCAGGGGAAAATGACTTTTTGTTCCAAAACAAGAAACATGGCATTATATCCAGGGTGGCATTATAACCAGGGGCTTTGTAACCAGGGTGACTGTATCGGTATACAATCGATGTACTATTAGACTTTAAGGAAGAAATACATCTCATCGCAGAGGAACCACATTTATGTAGGGCTCGATATATACACACACAAAACGTAAATGCTTCACCTCAACAAGAAATGTTATGAAATGTTAACTTAAAGGTAAGTTAAGGGATCATATTCGCATTCGGACATGTCATATTTTGAAAGTGAAACGGGCACATGTTAATAAACGGGCACATGTTAATGTCGATTCTGCGACAAAAAATAACGTTTCTACCATGTGTTTGTATTTATAGAGCAAATATGTACTCGTTTTCAAATGTTGAAAAATATTTTATGAAGAAATCAGCCGTTTTGACACATTTTGTCTAAATATGCAATTAAATAATAGTTTAAATTCATAAAAACAATTCTGGTACTGTTCTTACTAATAGCTAATATGACAGCGAAAAAACACATATTGACACAAGATACTTAAAAATATTTGAAACGGAAGTGAGTAAAATATATTATAAGACAACAATAACATATGTTTTAATGTTTATTTGTGAAGCAAAACAGGCAAGATGTATCACTGCAAGGTATTGTAGAACTTCTTAACATAACATATATGGACCGTATAAAACACACAACTGATCGCATTTGGAGCGTGATCGTCAACTCCAGCATGCGTATTCTAATATACTATTCACACTTTGCTAAGGATCAAATCATGGATTCAACAGAAAACTATTATGTGGGGTAAAATTTGGTTTATATACCAAAGTTTATTGTAAGTATGGATCCTAGGTTTCAGTATGTCATTGCATCTTGTGGATCCCATACCTGCTATTGACATGTGTTGTTTATTTGTCAATGACCCGTTGCATGATTTGCAAAATGGTTGATTGGTGCCATGAAAACAATTTTTATGGTTACTCGTGTATCAAGTGCATGAGGTTTGATTAAAGTGTCTGTTTGCCTAAAGATGGGTTACCATATTATTATTTATCCAGTTTTAAATGGATAGAATTTCAAATTATAAATCTACGTCTAAGTAAAGTTGTGAATTTGTGTGTTCCTTAGCAAAGTGTGAGTAGTATATAAAACGTTCGGTTTCAGTTCGACTGGGGCGGTATTGTGGTGTGCCGGAGGTCCAACAAGTGGTGGCTTAGAGGCATCATCAGTACCAACAACTGCCTCGTCAGCAACGGCGGAGTGGCGACACCCGAGCCTCCCATCTTCATCACCGAGGTGGCAAACTACAAGGACTGGATCCAGACCTGCGCGGAGAACATTTCCGCTTGTCCAACTCTATAAACAATAAGGGATTGCCGGGGATGCATCACAGAAAACATCTGATGATGATCGCACCAAGAATACCACTTCTATAATGATATATTTCCTATCTAAATGCATCTGCGTTTGCCGTTTATGCTGTACATACAACAGTTGCTATTACGTGTCTTGTGTGGGTTGTTCATGTTGACAAATAAATTTGTAAGGAATGTCATCTTTTCTTGAGTGTTCACAGGTTCGTGTCCTAACAAATATCACTACCTCAATTTTCTGAAGAATATCCGGGATGTGCGTATTTTGTTTTTCATCCGAGTGTGGACCCGTGAAGATCCGGGTTAGAATGGGCCTTCACCGACCCATACTTGTCGTATGAGGCGACTAACAGGATCGGGTGGTAAGGCTTGCTGACTTGGCTGACACATGTCATCGTATCCCAGTTGCGTAGATCGATGCTCATGCTGTTGATCACTGGATTGTCTGGTTCAGACTCGATTGTTTACATACCGCCGCCATGTAGGCGGGGTATTGTTGAGTGCGGCGATAAACAACAAACAAACAAGACATACGAGCATGTTATCTTTCATCTTTAATGAGCGCCTGTAATGCATTGTTTGATCTGATTGTCATTTCAATTACAGACAGGTTGGAGTGGTACAGACATTGCACAGATCATTATCTCTCGACGAATATCGTCGCTTTTATCTCCCATCTGACGAGTGTAGAAGTGTTACAAATGTTTGTAAGAATCACAGCAACTTTATAGGTTAATCCTCGGTGATGAAGAATCCTATTTATAATCAGGATTCGAACCTAGGACCAGAAAAAGCATCCAGGTAAAAGACATTCGACCATTGGTCAACACGTAGTTTCGTATCAATGGTGTTGATGTCCAATGTGTAACTGAAAAATGTCCAGCAGAAAACCTATACATGTGTGCTCTCTGATCATGCTATATTTGTTGTAAAACGCTCATCCAGCAATATTCCAGATATATTTAAACAATCGAGTCTTGACCAAACAATCCAGTGATCGACATGACAAGCATCGATCTACGTATTTAGGATACAATGCCATTTGTCAACCAAATCAGCAAGCCTGGCCACCAGTTCCCGTTAGTCGCCTCGAGCATGGTTTGCTGAAGATCACTTCTAATCCGGATCTTCACGGGTGGTGTGATTTAGAACTGGGTGTATGTTCTTTAACGCCGCACTATATTCCAGCTCCGTCACAACCTGTAAATATTCGCGTATGAACCAGACAATCCACTGATTGATATTATGACCAACGACCCAAGCCATGGGTGTCCACTCATCTCATTAAGTGGCCTCTTATGAGAACGTTAGGTTGCTGGGAACCTAATGTCCATCACCAAGCATCGATCTAACATTCGGGATACAATACCATTTGTTAATCACGGGAGCCAGTCTGACCACCCGATCCCATTAGTAGAGATCTATCCATATGTTGATCTTCCTACCGTCGAGTGCTGATGCTGCCGGTCAACCCCACTGTATGTTTTTGGATCAGTTATAAGAGGTCAATATACATACAAATTTGTTTCCATGGGCGATATCGCTTGAGTGAGATAAGGCTACAACGAAATTGCATCTTTGCTAGTCTCATTTCGCCTACATCCCAATTCGCCTACAGTCTTAAAACAACATTTCATGGTCTGTTGACTGTTGATTACGCAATGTTAAACCAGTGTCTCCCCTATGATCTAAAAGTGGACTCTTCTAGTTTAAGTAGTTGAAGGACAAAAAGAATTTATTTCTCTTATTTGTCAGTTATTTATTTATTCTGTTATTTGTCATTTCCCGATCACAATGATATTCACATCATATCACAAATCCACATCATATCACATTAGTATTAAGGAAGTTAACTTGTGCCGATGTCCATTTAGGAGATAAACATACTGTGTTGGAAAATTAGAGGTTTATAACGAAATTATAATAGCTCTAAATTTGAATTAAAACCCTACGTATAGCGTGAGGTTTTAAATACAAAATTCAGAGCTATTATAATTTTATCTCTATTCTACTATAGCCGTGTTATTAAGATTAAAAATAATACATACTGTATTGGAAAATGAGTGAAACGTGATTCTATACCTCTGAATGACTTTGATTAACCACAATCCAGTATTTACTGAAGGCATGGTAGAATCTCACTTCAACTTGATAAGGTCATTTTCGTAAAGCTTGGGGTTATAAAAAACATGAAAGAAACCATGATATGGCTTCAGACTTTCTATAGTCATTCACATATTGTGCATGCAGAACAACAGTGAATTTGGATGTTAGGCAACATACAATCCATCTAATCATAGGATATGCAAGGTATGATGTTGGTACTTGTAGGTAATTCAGAAAATGAGCCTTCAAATTCACTGATCCACGAACTTGTCACTTTTAGAGATTAGTGATGGCAACTGATTTTCATAAGAGGCAAATATGTTGACTTTACATTGGTAAAAACCTAGCTGTGTATACCTTTCGTTGGAATCGAACACATATCTTTATAACAACAGTCAATCAAGATGTAGTGTGGCACTGACCAGTGAGTCAGGTTCATTATTAGAGTAGGGGTGCAATTTCTAATCCCAATTAGCCTACAGTCTTTTTTGTATGCAAAATGGGATGTAGGCGAATTGAGATGTAGGCGAGTAGAGACTAAACCGTTACCAAGCCGCTTTATTTGTTGTTTAACGCGACACATAATAAAATATACCAGGCATATGGCGGTGGCCTGTAAATAAACGAATCTGAACCACACTATCTAATGGTGGACAACATGAGCGTCGATCGACGGAATCTGGGTACAATGACGTGCATGAACTCTGTAACTTAGCCTGACAATCCTATCCTGTTAGTCGCCTCTGAGGTCAGTCTCTAACTCCCTTGTTCACGGGTTCGGTTACCATGACGTCACAATGAAATGCCACCAGACATATCTCTGCAACTGAAGGTGGTTACCGTTACATTTTACGGTCCAGAAACTCGTTTACACTGTCTGCATACTCAAACACGTAAAGTTGGCTGAATGATATTAGATGATAAATACAATCTCCCATTGTGTCTTTTGATATCAAATTTTATCAACACTCGTCGTTTGAAGTTTAACATCCATCGGCAAGTTCTGGAGAATGAAACTTATTTTGACTTGTACTGATCTATTTCAAGACAAAGGACACTCAGGGATTTTCTTTGCCAAGCGTAGAGTAAATGTTCTAAAACATAACATAGCAGAGTCGGAGATTTTACTTTCATGAATAAAGAACTTTGCTTAAACAGTCTACATTGTAACCATGTATTACTACTTGAGCCAATATAAACGACTCGTGAAGGGCGGCATGTCATTCCTGCGTACGATCTGTGTTTTGAAAGTGACTCACTCCCCAGGACTATAGAGTGAGTGAGTGAGTGAGTATGGTTTATTGCCGCTTTCAGCAATATTCCAGCAATATCACAGAGGGTGACAGCAGAAATGGGCTTCACACATTGTGCCCATATGGGGAATCGAACCTGGGTTTTAGACGTGATGAGCGAGCGCTTTAACCACTAGGCTACCCCACCGCCCCCAAGAGCATAGATAAAGGAACAATCGGCAGCGTCAAAACACGTCCATTTGTTTACTGTATTTAATTAAATTTTCTAATCTTCAAACTGTTTTTGAGGGTGCAAGATAGCCGTGTGCACTATACATTAGCTCTGTTACCCAAACCCAAACACAACCAACGACTTTCACAGAAAAACAGCATCATCTGTAGACTACAAAAGATCTAACACCTATACGTATAACACCATGGGGAATGCCTCTAGAACAATCTTTCCTTAAGAGTTCAGTTTATCTAATTACCTGGCATTGGGCGTTAAACAGTTCTGTGTTATAGGAGTGTTATTGTCCACATAGTTTCCTGGGCTATATAAAGCACAGTTCTCCAGGAAGGGTTGAAGATGACAATTTTCACTGTGACTATCGTGCTGCTTCTAGCGCAACTGACATTCTCGGGAGCTCAGTTTATCCGCCATACATGTGAGTTATTCAGATGCATACTTTTATTAAATTTATTCTGTAAAATGATTTTTTGCGAACACCTAGTGTCATCCTGATTCCTGCGAATCACTCATTTAATCTACACCACTAATTTATCGTTTACGCCAAATGGAATCTGTCTCGGCGGGCAAGAAAGACTATACGATCTTTGGCGTTGAAATTATTTATAACAAATTTGTCATTTTATATGTTTACTTAGGCACACTACATGTCAATATATATATTATGCAAAAACAAATCAACGTGATTAATTAAAGAACCATCTTTTTGCGATACCGAAATCAGATATATTTTTCATGCCTTAGGCTGAACAAAATATTTCGTGTGATAATGATGTTTCGATAATACATATAATAGTGTTAAACGTTTCAGTATGTGCCCAGCTGTATAGCGGAAGATGTCGACCGTCATGCTATTACCAGGAGACACAACAACAAAACACGTATGACAGACTGTGTTTCGTCGGCGTGTGCTGTCGGCAAGGTGGTGGTATGTAATGGTAGTTGTCGGTGTCATCGCAGTCAGGGATACAATACATTTGTCTAAAAAATATATAATCGATGCTTGAATTGAGGGGCGGTGGTGTAGCCTAATGGTTAAAGCGTCTGCTCGTCACGCTGAATACCCGGGTTCGATTGCCCACATGGGTATATTGTGTGAAATCCATTTCTGGTGTCCCCCACCGTGATATTGCTGTAACATTGCTAAAAGCGACGTAAAACCAAACTCACTCGATCGTTCGATTGGAACAACATTGAATGAGTGAGTGAGTTTAGTTTTACGCCGCTTTGAAATATCCCAGCAATATTCCAACACTATCAAGGCGGGGGATACCAGTAATATTGCTGGAATATTGCTAAAAGCGGCGTAAAACCATACTCACTTACTCGCTCGAATGAAACAACATTTAAGAAAGAAAAACCTTTCAGGTCAACGTACGGAACAGTCAAGATAAACAGTAAGAACATTTCATTCCTGCGTCGATTACAAACATATAAATCTTATAAGAACACTTATAGAGAGATTTCAAATTGAAATTTAACAAAGAAGTCCAGTATCACCTGTCTGTCACAGCTGATGCGCCATGATACAAATGCATCACTATTCCAAATTGTGCGGCTGATGTGTAGTACATTACTTATGACAGTAGGTTTGTATGTACAGAGGATGGTGTTTGGTCAGTGTGGTCCACGTGGAGCACGTGCTCTGTCACGTGTGGACAAGGGGAACGGAGGAGATCTCGCACGTGCGTCTCGGGATACTGTTCTGGGCAAGATTTCCAAATACAACCATGCACAGAAAACCAATGTTCTACAGGTAAGATTGATCCCTCGTATACAGTGTTTGTATACGTTGCCATGAGCAGTTACATGACAGGGGCGGTGGGGTAGCCTAGTGGTTAAAGCGTTCGCTCGTCACGCCGAAGGCCCGGGTTCGATTCCCCACATGGGTACAATTTGTGAAGCCCATTTCTGGTGTCCCCCGCCGTGATATTGCTGGAATATTGCTAAAAACGGCGTAAAACCATACTCAGCCAGTTACATGACACAATACTCAAAGTTACGTCACAACCCAATCACAACGACCGAGATGAGAAAGTGAAAGTGACGCTATTGACTAAATCGATTATAAGAAATGGCTACGACGCCGATAATGACACGGGTTTTTTGTTTTTAAAAAAAACCCACCTTTCTCAATAAATGTAAACTGTTCTTTTCGTCTGGACAATATTTTCAAACACAACGATGTTTACAAAATCTGTTGGAAGGTAGCACTGATCGCCCGCAGGGGGCACAATGTAAAATCAGATATGTGAACATCATTAACGTTCTACAAAATCAAGTGACGCAAGTTTCACCATAATGATGATATATACTTATTGTTTTGGGGGCGGTGGGGTAGCCTAATGGTTAAAGCGTTGGCTCGTCACGCCGAAGACCCGGGTTCGAATCCCCACATGAGTTCAATGTGTGAAGCCTATCTCTGGTGTCCCCCGCCATGATGTTGCTGGAATATTGCTAAAAGCGGCGTAAAACCAAACTCAGTCAGTCAGCCTTATTGTTTGGGACACAGTTGGCCATTTCGTTTAAGACGCCGCAATTTCGTGTACAGGGCTGCACCCCCCAGGCACATCAGGATTTAATGACCGTTGGGTAGTATCCGAGTAGTATCCTGGTATCTGTCAGCCATAACCGTACTCTGTGTTTCACCACAGCGGTAAACAACTGAGACATCCATCATTTCGAAATGTCCTCCCACATCAGTGAGTGAGTTGTGTTCCACGACGCTTTTAGAAATCACAGAGGCAGTGGGGTAGCCTAGTGATTAAAGCGTTCGCTCGTCAAACCAAAGACTTGGGTTCGATTCCCAACATGGGTACAATGTGTGAAGCCTATTCCTGGTGTTTCCCGCCGTAATATTGCTGGAATATTGGTTAAAGGGACGTAAAACCCAACTCACTCACTCATCCACTCTTGCAGACGTTCACAGTAGTGAAAATGTTTCTGTGGATTTCAAAAAGTCCAAAGTTCAAAGAATTTAGATTGATTCAAACTCATTTTGGTTCGTGACCACACACGGACGGACGCAGGCACGCATGCACACACGTACGTGCAAGACAATCAGTGTCCGGCTTGGTTTCGATCCGATTCAAACAGATGTGAATGTTGGTAATAGTATTGTAGATGTTTTTAACTTATATATCATGCCCACAGATCGATGCGGTGAAGAAGTAGTACATTCAAGAATTTTGGGAGGTCAAAACAGTTTGAAGTGCACGTGGCCCTACACCCCTCTTGTCAGCATCAAAGTCTACTACAACTCCAACTTAAGCAACAGCTTCAACTTTGGTAACCTGACCGTGTGTGGTGGAGCAATCATCAGTGACCAATATATCCTTACTTCCGCTGTGTGTGCAGCTCCGTAAGTATTACCTCCTTTGAATAGTCATATCTGGGGGGCGCAGATGGTACTGTAGACTAAGTCAGGGTGCACAGTTGCGACCCTCAGTCCCCAAAGCCCTTTTACAGAGGGTTCAAATTCGCCCTCAATATGTTTACAGGTTTTCTAGCACCATACCCATACTTCTTTGTGTAACACTGACTGACTGACTGAGTTTGGTTTTACGCCGCTGACAATGTTTGGTTTGGCAAATTAGAGAAAATGAAAACAGTTAATCCATGCATTTTTTTTCACCCAGATGTTCCCCACATGCACGATCAAGCTTCTGTTATAATCATTTCTTACGCTGAGGATCAGGTCTTCAAAGCGATAGTGCCAACGGTAAAGAATTGTGGAAACGTTTCCTACTGACTACTTTACTACAGGGGACACCAGAAATGGGCTTCACACATTGTAGCCATGTGGGGATTCGAACCCGGGTCTTCGGCGTGACGAGCCAACGCTTTTACCACTAGGCTACCCCACCGCCCCTCTTTGTGTAACAAAGTGAGGTGGGGTAACGTAGCAGTGGTAAGGCTCGTCACGCTGAAGACCCGGGTTCGATTCCCCACATGGGCACAAAGCGTGAGGCATATTTCTGGTGTCCCCTGCCATGATATTGATGGAATATTGCTAAAAGCGGTGTAGGTGGTTTGGCAAATTAGAGAAAATGAAAACAGTTAATCCATGCATTTTTTTTACCCAGATGTTCCCCACATGCACGATCAAGCTTCTGTTATAATCATTTCTTACGCTGAGGACCAGGTCTTCAAAGCGATAGTGCCAACGGTAAAGAATTGTGGAAACGTTTCCTACTGACTACTTTACTAATACGTGACTACAAAACAAGCACGTATTTTGATTGGTTTGGTTGCTTGTTTAACGCCAAACTCGGCAATATTCCAGCTGTATGGCGGCGGTCAGCGAGCCTCACCACCCGATCCCGTTAGTCGCCTCTGACGACAAGCATGGGTTGCTGAAGACCAACCCTAACCCGGATCTTCTCGGGTCCCGTGGGAATAACTCCCAATCTGGAAATTAGAACAACCTACTAATTTCATTACAGTAAAATATTCTTTCTATCACCTGAGTGGCCAGACTTATTGATATCATTTCATAATGTTACAGTACCATCAGCATAATAACTGCATAGTGTATGTCACTATATTTTCCAAAATTCTGCTTGGCTGAGATGGAAAATGTCTACTTCATTCACTTGTGACCCGGATGTAGTTTCTCAAACAGGATTTCTCTCGGACTCCTACGTGTCAGTGGACCTATTTGCAACATTTTTTTCATTGTCAGTATCATGAGTATGGCGTTGAACCGGATTGGGGATGACCTTTACACACAGAGGGTGGGTGGGGGTTGGGGATGACCTTTACACACAGAGGGGTGGGTGGGGTATTGAGGGCAGGAAGGATGTTTACACTGTGGTTAGCAATAGTCATCAGGGTCCACGTAGCTTCACACCTCGGTACCCTTATGTTAGATCCTGTTTCGGAAACAATTAGCTGTACTAAGAAAAACCAAGCGGATACTCCAGAAGGGATGCTGTACATATTAGCTGGTAGTCAACACAACGAACTGCATTAATGGAAAATCGAACCCGAACCTTTAACGGGATGATCAAGGGCTTTAATCATTATAACTAAAATTGAACACATTCATGATATGATTTTTTTTAGTTCGTTTTTTAAACTATTAGACTGTTTGAAGTCATTAATGTAACAAATATTATTTCCTAGACTATACGGACCAAATGCCGTAGCTGTACGCCAGTCCACTAGAGTTATCATTGGAAGTTATGACAGCAGAACCGTTGACTATGGCAGTGACGGTCGTCCTGAAGATTCCATTGAAGTGGAGGAAATAAAGATTCACGAAGACTATAATAATATCACAACAAGTTAGTATAGCCTGCATGTTCATGTTCATAGATATATTGCATTGAGTGATCACTAGTGACTTGTGAACCGTCATGGAATTATGTAGTATTATGTCATGTTAGAATTATGTAGCAGAAGCTCTTTAACTTGTCCAAAAAGCGTGTTGACCTCAATCAAATTGAAAACAAAATATAGTACATGTCGAATCATGTACCAATCATGATGTGGCCAATTATTCTCAATGAAGACGGAAGTGGGACATTCTTTGGAAGATCCCTGAAGATCTTGTTAGAACTGATCTTTATCATCCTACCCTTCTCAGTGACGACTGACGGGATCGGTTGGTCAGGTTCGTAGACTTGTTTCGCGCATCTGATGGTGTAGATCGATAAGGATGTAAATTTTTCTGAATTCTCTGGGCCAGACTTGATAATTTGCAAACCGCCATATAGCTGGATTATTGCTGGGTGTGGCTGGATTATTGCTGGGTGTGGCTGGATTATTGCTGGGTGTGGCGTTAAACAACAAAAGAATAATCCAAGACATACATAATAGTTTTGATTCATGTTTTTTCTCCAAGGCAACAACATTGCTATCTTCAAACTGAGAACCCGCATCCAGTACAACAACTGCAAACAGCCAGCTTGTCTGGAACCTCAGCGCACCTCCGCTACAAGCGCCCTTGACGTACCGGAAGTAGATGACACGTGCATCATGGCCTCTGTTGGTGACACGAGTAGTAAGGTTTCTGTCTGGCTTAATGCCAAGTACAACTGATACTCCGAGAAAGGTCAACCCGTAAATGTTGAATAATGGCTTATACGTTGATACTTTGATATGTTTAACAGGTTGATGATCGGACATGGCTTGAGGCGGTGTGTATATGTTACACCCTATCTGTACAACGTGCCCATTGCATGCAATATGTAAACAATTCTCTGCTCATTGCAATAATTGGCAATAGCTGTGAATGAAAAATAATTCTTCAAATATTTCACAGTATGGGTAACCAGCTTGCTCATTTCAATACTAAGGGTGTGCAGAACTTGAGTATAAACTTCCATGTTAAGGGATCCAAGACTCCCAGTATCACCATGACTACAATTTGCACACAATACCCATGAACGTTGGTTAATCAACACGGTTAACGTCCACCAGGGCGGTGGGGTAGACTGGTTGTAAAAGCGTTCGCTCGCCTCGCTGTAGACCCGGGTTCCGTTCCTACATAGGTACAATGTGTGAAACCCATTTCTGGTGTTCCCCGCCGTGATATTGCTAGAAAATTGCTAAACGCGGCGTAACACAATATTCAGTCAATCATTCAACATAACAGTTTGCAACTGAAACTTTCTCATCGGAAGATTGATTGTTTACAGATAATAACTCTGAACCACCCAACATCCCACAACAGGCTCACATCAAGCTGTACAGTAGACAACTCACTGAAGCTATTGTGCAGTATGTGTATCCCCAGTTTTTGCCAGATGGTGTCGTCATAGGCAGACCCGAGAACCCGTCTGTTCAAACATGTCTGGTACGTTCAACATATAGATACATTCTCACGCTATCCTTTTTATATCTTTTCCAAGCGATTGTTCAGTTCAGTTGTAGAGCCGAACGTGGGATATATGCATTTACACCAGTTCGAGCGCTTGTTCCATGAATTTTGTTTGTTATCTGTGATACATTTGTCATTGATATCATGATTCCTACGGGAATAGTGCTAGCAAAACAATTACGCCTTGTTATGTTAATTATGTTATGATTGATACAGTTCTATGTTAGATTGTGCAAAGATACAATATCCTGTTTTATCCTCATTCTGCCTTACACGTCATTACACGACATAGTTTGTCTGATTTGGCCTTCTATTTAATTCAGTGGAAATAAAACAGTCACTATTTTAAAGAACATTCAGTTAATACGGATTTTTCTCCGAAATTCAAGTTTAAAAATATTACTAATAGGGATTTCTGTTCCATATTACGACATTCCTGACCACAAATGACCATTTTAGTCAGACTGGGGCGGTATTGTGGTGTGCCGGAGGTCCAACAAGTGGTGGCTTAGAGGCATCATCAGTACCAACAACTGCCTCGTCAGCAAAGGTGGAGTGGCGACACCCGAGCCTCCCATCTTCATCACCGAGGTGGCAAACTACAAGCAGTGGATCGACACCTGTCTGAACAACATCGACAGTTGCCCAACTCGAAGAGTTTAGACTGGAGATCCTAGTCTTCAAACCATAGTTGTTCATTACAGTTTCATTACGAGAATTGTCAGAGAATACATACAGAATGATCACGTTCATTTGTATTTGCCTGCACTGGCATATAACCACTACTGTATAATGAATATTGTGTCAATACAAACAAATATGTTATGGCAATACATTTTAAATGTGTATTATTAACCGTTCCCCATTTAATGGGGATACACGTCAATATGACCAAAAAGCGGCATGTAATACAAAGGAATTCTGTTTACTGACTCCCTGATTCTAAACTACATACAGACTCTTGTCTTCTTGAGTTAATGTGGAAGGATGGCAGTAAAAATAATAGCATCGCTCACAGCAGTAATAGGAACACACACACACACCCACGCGCACGCACGCACCCACACACACCAATACATACATACATACATACATACATACATACATACATACATACATACATACATACATACATACAAAAGTCAGTTATTTTTCGGGAACATGGTATCATGCTCCTCTGGACAACTGACCCAATTGAGATCACTGGTTACATGTGCAGTTTATAAGATTTTTAACGGGGACACTGTTTTGACCTGGGGCACCTATAATACCCTATGTGTACATCGACAACATTGACTGACAGAAGCTAGTTTGCATGGACATGGACATTTACTATGATTATGGAGTATTAAATAGTCTACCACTCACTCATTCATATTTCATGACTTCCAACACGGAAAGGTTGCTTTCTAATCAAAGTGGAATGAGGATAGCGTTTACTTGCACACTCTGTGCACTTCCCATGATTGAACTTTCTAATCTGCTCAGTTGGGAACCGATGGCGTGTGTCAACCAAGTCAGCGAGCCTGACCACCCGATCCCGCAAGTCGCCTCTTACGACAAGCATGGGTTATTGAAGATTCATTCTAGCCCGGACCTTCACGAGTACTTTCTAAGGAGAGGTTGATTTGGAAGAAAGTTGGTGAGTCAATTTGTAGGGACACCTCAACCGCATCTGATGACTACATGGAATGGTACGAAACTGTTCTCATGAACCAACGTGAGTTTGAATTCGTCTGAATTCTTTTAACTTTTGACTCCTTGAAACCCAAAGAAAACATTGTCCTCACAACTGTCAATGTCTGCAAGATTTAGTGAGCAGCCATGTGGTGAATCGAACCTTGGTCTTCGGCGTGCCGAGCGGACGCTTTAACCACTGGGCTACCCCACCGCCCCTCATGTCTGTAGTAAAAGATGATAATGCTAAAAGCCTACACTAACGAACACAGAACTATTTCCTGTTTATGTTGGAAAAAATCAGCAAATATATTTATTGGATCATGCTCTCGCTTAGCCTTAACAAGACAACATATACATGTTACAGTCAAGGTCTACAATCAGGCAATGTGTACAATGACTGAAATAACCAGTCAATGTGTACATTGCCTGATTCACTCAGTCACTGTGTACATTGTCTTAAATTTCCAGGCATTGTGTACATTGCCTGATTAATTAACCCAATTATTGTACAGACTGACTGATTGTTGAACAGGAATTATTGAGATGACATTGACAAAACTTTGAAGGACTTGTTCAGGAAAGTGAATCTTTGAGGGCAGTGGTCTCTGATTCTTCGGGAGGTGAAGGTGAGGTGAAATTGGGTTCAACGTCGTACTTGAGAATATTTCGCTCATATGACGACGTGCATGCGCGAGTACGTGGATGTGCGGCTGCTTGTACTAGCCCAGACTGAAGCTGGTTTTATAGTGCTAGCCCACTGAGATACCATGCCGCAGTGAAGCATGAATACCCCACTCAGACACATTATACTGACTCCAAGCCGACCAGTCCTTCTTGTACCCATTAATGCCGAGCGCCAGGCAGGGACCAACAAGTACCATATTTTAACGTCTTTTGGTTTGACGCGGTCGGGGATCGAACCCGCGACCTTCCGCTCTCCGGGCGGACGCTCTAACCACTACACCACGGAGGCGGTCTTGATTCTTCGGGAAGCCAAGACAGCACACAGGAAGGCAGAAGATATTTTGTCACTTCGGAAGTATTTGCACGAGAACTACAAGCCTACACGGAAGAATCATCTCGGTATCAGTGACCTGCATTTTGTAGAGATATTCAGTTCCCTCCAATGCTTGTCTCAGAAATAGAACAAGAAAGAAATGCAACTTTGTTTACAACATTTGATGGAAAACATCTAAGGAAAGACCCATCGTCCGCATCACGGCTTAAAGAGTGTGTTGAGTCAAAAGCTGTATGATGTGATCCATAACAAAACTGAACCAACCACAAAAGTAAGAAAAACTAGCCACCTCAATCATTGACCGTGTTGTGTAAGAAGGTAGTTTCCAAGTTCCAAAAGACCACTATGGACATTACCTGGGCTCGTGACATATATGCCACCCGATATGCAGAATGGGAATCCACAACTCTCCACAGAAATGTTGTCCAGGTTGGTGATTCAGATATTCCAAGGTTTTGGTATTAATAACTTAACCGGTAAGTATAGATCCACAGTCTTGTGAACTTGATTCTCGCCATATGCTTACAAACCTTCGTGTTAAGGTCTGCAAGACAGGAATATCAGATTTTGCCTTGGCTTTGGTGAAAGTCGCGAGAGAATGCAAGCCAAATGGAACCGGGTTGAATTCTTTTGTTGTATATACCGTTATTTTGGTTTTGACTAAATGACGCACATCAAATTGCTATTTTCAAGTTAATTCATCTCTGAAATGAGTTTTACAAACTGCAATAAATGTTAGTGTATTGATGTCGCTATGGTGGTGACCATTAGGAACCGGTATCAGGCACCATAGCAAACCGTATTTACACACATGGCTTACCATTGATACAGTAGCATCAAAGTTATAAAATGTGGCGAATATTATGTCATATCAGCCTTTCCTGACATATTACGGTCAATGCAGTTAACAATCATGTTATTGAAACGCGTCTTGAAAATAGATATATAAGTTGAATTTCTCTTGACGGCAAATTTAGATAATAATAAACAAATGAAATCGAAAGCATCAACACTGTTTGGAATCAACAGGTCATAAATTCGTAAATTCACATTTAAAACAATTCCTTTGAACACATTCTCATTTTCCAATACTGCATCTAAATACTGGCTATCTATGATTGACAAGATGTTTACAATATAGCGTATAAAGGTGATAAAATTTACCTGTCACCGTGAGGCAACCAAACTTATTCAGCCGTAGCGAGCCGTTACTCTGTACTTAGAAAACCGTAACGGCCACTAGCACCGTAACGGCCGTATTACAGGGTGTGATACCGGGCAATCCAGTGATCAACAGCATTAGCATCGTTATACCTAATTGTGAAACGATGACATGTGTCAACCAAGTCAGCGAGCCTGGCCACCTGATCCAGTTAGTCGCCTCTTTAGAGGTTGAGATATATACATATATATACATATATACACACACACACACACACATATATATATATATCCAATATATATATATATATATGTATGTATATATATATGTATAAGTTTATAAGTAGAGAGAGATAGAGAGAGATTGAGAGTAAGAGAGAGTAAGTGTAAGGGAGAGAGAGAGATTGAGAGTAAGAGAGAGAGTAAGTGTAAGTGAGAGAGAGAGAGTGAGAGTAAGAGAAAGAGAGAGTGAGAGAGAGATATTGACATGCCTCAAACGTCAACACCATGGAGATTCTTTATTTCCTCCAGAAATCAATCCGAAGATTATTGATACATGAATTCAATCAAACATAAAACACATTAGTATTTACATACATGACAATGTCATTCATAGTTGACAATTGATATGTACAGAAATATAATCAAACATTCACAAAGGGATGGCGTCACTTGTACGCAGAGTGTCTCCAATAAAATACAAACTCAAGATATCGTTTCAAATGACAGACATATTTTGCAAAGTTTATAATGACCACATGATATGTGTCCCTCACTAGGGGATCGTGTGAACTGTGTATCTGCACCTTGGAGAGTTGACAGCATTTCGTCGTCTTCCAACATTTCAAAATTTACATAGGTTTCAACATCAATCCGAGATGAGAAAAAGTTATTTCGGAGAGGTAATAATTTTTCACAGTGTAGTATCACATGGTTGTCAGAGTCATAAGCGTGCTTGTTACAAAGCAAACATTCTTTTGAGATTTTATTTCGTGATGAAATTTTCAAACATAATTGCAAGGCTGCTCTGTGTTGTAACAATCTTAAACTCGGTAAGCTGTATTTGGTGCGGCTCGAAATTAACAAGCATTACGCTTTCATTGGGGTATGGCAGCTTAATGTGGGGTGCAACCTATAGATGTCAACCACTTTCTTTACCCTATTGTACTAGAGGTCAAAGTCAGGGCAAAGACCGATTCGAAGATACGATTCCTGCCAAGACCGAAGGGCGCAATACTTCACGGGACATTGAAGCAGAGCCTCTATTCCCAAATGAACTGGGTTTACAAATAGGCGAAATTCTTCACAGTAGAAAGTTGCTCGAAACACTCTATTACATTGCACATGAGGCGAATGACTGGCCTTATAGCCATACTTATTCTTAGTCGCGAATAATTAATTATTATTTTGTTAGAAACAAACAATTCCGTTTTAACTGAAAAGGAGCCCCATTGAGTATGGAGACACAGAAGAAATCTAGTCTAGCTTCACGTACCGCTTTCGCTTTGCAGAAAGTACTTGGGGTGGGGTGTAAATATTGAGAACCAAATCATACACATGTTTCAGAATCTTCAAACGGATTGTCTCAGAACGACATAGGTTAACACGTAATGTAGGATATACGCATCCTTGATTCGCCGTATATATACTGAAAGATACAAATAAAGGAACATAGGAAAATTCAAGTGTTCCTTTAAATCAATATTTTCCAGTTTTCATCACCAACTTTGAATAGCGCTGTGGGAGGAAATCTGAGAATAAATAAAGGAACACTGCCATGAAGTGGTGTTCCCTTATTTGTTTCCCTCAGTATATCCTGATGGTTACGTGTAAAACTTTGAGAACCGATCCCCTGGAACGTTGTTCTGTTTAGTGGAACTAGACGCCTATGGCTATAACAATATGAGGAATGTCAGAAACAATCGTCTCTGGTAACAAG